CAAATGAAAATGGTTTAAAGTTCCCCAGAGAAAACTGTGTGTGGGCCGTTTTCCCTGCGACGAGGTTTGACTTTGGACCCAATCTTACAATTGAATAACATAGAAATATTAGTGAAGCAGGAACATAAATTTTTAGGCGTGGTCTTCGATAAAAAGCTTACATTCAAGTCTCATTTAAAGGAAGTAAAGCAAAAGTGCTTGCGATCCTCAAACATCCTTAAGGTTCTGTCACATATATCTTGGGGGTCTGACAGACGATGCCTCCTACGTTTGTACAATGCTTTAGTTCGGTCACGTCTGGATTATGGAGCAATTGTTTATGGTTCGGCACGACCTTCCACTCTAAAGATGTTGGATCCGGTTCATCACCTCGGACTCCGGCTAGCCACTGGGGCATTTCGCACGTCACCCGTATTAAGCTTGTATGTGGACACGCATCAAATGTCTCTGGAAAAACGCCGACAGTACTTGAGCCTGTGTTATTATTACAAAGTGCTTTCGGATCCGAAAAATCCTGCTTATAGTATTTTACAAATTCCTCAGTTCTGTAATTTGTTTGAAAACAAGCCAACAATTGTGCGCCCCCTAGGTTTTCGAGTTCAAAGTATTTGTAGCTCTCTCAACCTCCCTGTCCCTTCCACAAGTGGTGTTAACTTGCTAAAATCTATGGAGAGAATTGCCCCTTGGAATGAGCTACCCGTATGTTGTGACTGGTCTTTCACCAAATACAGTAAGAAGACCGTGGCTCCACAGTTCCTTCAGCAAGAGTTTCTATCTTTGCAAGAAAGGATATCTAGCGGTTACGCCGAATACTACACCGACGGATCGAAATCTTTATGTTCCGTTGGTTGCGCAGTTTATTCTAGTGGCTTTGGAAGAGCTGTGCAGCTTGACTCAATGGCAAGCATCTTCACTGCAGAGCTCTATGGTATTTGATTGGCCATTGAGCATATTCTGGATAACAGTGTATTGAATGCAGTAATTTTTGTCGATTCACAAAGCGTCTTAGCTGCTATCTCTTCCAGAGTTTCCACAAAGAATGTACTTACACAACATGTTCGTTTTAAAGTAAACAGAGCTCTGCGCCGTGGAAGTAATATCAAAGTTTGCTGGGTACCAAGTCACGTGGGAATTGCAGGGAATGAGAGTGCGGATCGCTTGGCTGCATCTGCCACAGATTCAATAGCATCTTTTGGCCTGCCCTATCCGGATTTTAAACCACTTTTAAAGAAATCTCTTTTAAAGACTTGGCAGCTAGAATGGGACACTGAAACCAACAACAAACTCCACGTGATTAAACCAATGATAGGCATCTGGGAAAGTTCATTTCACAGAAACCGTCGTCTCGAGGTTATGCTTTGTCGCTTGAGAATCAGCCACTCACGTCTGACACATATGTACCTCCTCTGTGGCAAAGAAGTTGCACTTTGTGCCCATTGTGGGGAATTACTTACAATTTTACACATTCTATGGGAGTGTAAGTTTTATCATCAACTGCACGTATCATGTTTTCCTGAACTTTTTAGAGACTATCTACCCTTTCATCCTATGTTTTTACTTGGTGACAGTGCTTTAGTACCACATAGACGAGTTTTTAATTTTCTTAACAATACTGGTTATCTACACAAGTTATAAAAATCTTCTCTAGTCTAGCATCTGTTTTGCTGAGTTTTAATAAACATTTTGTTTGGCGCATTATGGCCTCCGTTGCTGCTGCGCCATTAAAACCTTAATCTTACTTACTTGTCTTCCTTAGTTCATCTTCTTAGGAGCACCATCGGCGTACACATTTGTTGTTGACGCCGAACTTTCGCCCGGCTGCTCGTTTGCTGTTGTCTTAAAGGGACCCTGCAGTCATATTTAAGCGCTTACCTTTTTTGCGGTTTCCACGTCTCTTGGGTTTCGGGCAAGCCAGCGGGCACGGAGAGATTAACTAAATATCAGTGCGCCATATTTTAACCGGACGACGCGGAAACCTCCTCCACCGACGGGGGCGACCCGCGGTACCGAAAGCACGCGATATGTGACGTCTTTGGTCCTGGGCTTACTACTGGTCAGAGCCGCTAAAAGCTTCTTTGTAGTTGAAATACAAAATATAAGTGGCGTGAACCGTTTCAATTATTTATAAATATAGTTTTTGTTCAGTATTTTAGATCAGAAAAGAAACAAATGCAGTTTATAAAGTACGGAAACAAGAAATGACCCGTCGACATACCCGCCACCAAGCAGCGGAAAAGGTGGCGCACACTAGAAAGGAGTAGTGGGATCAGGCGCCGACGCAGAAAGGTCCCGGATGTACGCGGCGGCGCTGCGGTCGTAGGGACTGGAGGATCCAACCGGCTCTGAGCGTTCCGAAGGCCTTCGTTGACTAGCTTTGTCTGGCGGTTTGGCCATTTCGCGGTGTGGCAGCGCGAAGTGGCTCCCATTCTCAACTGATCTTTACCCCGTGTTTGCTGTCGTTTGTGGCCAATGAAGTGTCATGCCGAATTAGTGTTTAATCGCGCAGCAAATGCAATGCGAGCCGCTCTGGCTGCTCGCTGCATACAGTCTATCCAGAACATGCTTTAGTGGCGCCCTCTCGCGCTGTCGACAGGGAGTGCGGCAGCCGTGAGCGCTCGCTGAGCTCACTACTCCTCCTCTAGTTTACGGCCACTCAAGCAACCAAGGACGTCATGAAGAAGGTTATTTTTTGCTTGTTTTTGTAATTTTAAAATTCCTATAACTTTTAAAATAAAGTGAAATTCGAGAAAAAAAAAGTTTCATTAAGTTACTACCTTCAATGCGCTCAGGTTTGGTGCAAATTAAAAATTAGTAAAAAAAGTCATTGCAGGGGCACCCCTTTAAGCAAAGGCAGCAACTTTGAGTTTAAAGCCGGCCGTGTAACTTGCATACTTGCCCAATCAGAAGCCTGAAGTGGATGACAGCGGGAAGCCGGGGTTACTCGCAGACACAAAGAGATGCACGGTGTCTGGTTCGAGATTGTTCGAGATAAAGCGAGAGGAGCAAACAGACAGGATAGAGTGCCTCAATGTTGTTGGCTGCTGCAGCCGGGTGGGCGCCATCTGCCGACAATACTTAGAAAAGACAAAACAAAAAAAAGAACATTCTTGAGTTTTTGTGTTACAAACTAGATGGCACTTCCAGCCATTCTAAAATCATAGGTGCGGCCTATACACGGGTAATTTTGAAATATATTTTTTTTTGGCTTTCTTTTTTTAAGTTAGGGGTGCGGCCTTTACGTGCATATATACGGTATGTTAAAATGAACTGAGCTTAGAAGTGGACAAGTGGAAGGTTGGCAACAACCTTAACAAGGTCAGGTGATTTTTCGTTTAAGCATGGTTCACGGTAGTAAAAGGCTTGGGGAAAATTATTTGATATTCATTTAGAAAATATTTGGTCAAAATCACTATTCGCTTCAAATTTAAGATATCCTATTCACACATGACTACTCGTTACCTATGCCCAGTGCAGAGGCTGGTGTCGCTTTCAGGTCATACTTCCGTTACTTTTTTTGGTTCATTGTTTCAGTATCTCGGTCCTCTCGCGACTTAAATTTCCCAAAAAACATCACAGAGTGAAGATCCCCAGGTGAAAATCAGTCCACTTCCAGCTGGATTATGGAACTGGAAATGAGGCAGTCCAGCTGGATTCCAGCTGGGTCCAGCTGGAATCCAGCTGGACTGCCTCATTTCCAGTTCCATAATCTAGCTGGAAGTGGACTGATTTTCACCTGGGTCTCGTTGTTTGAGTTTTAACTACAGCTACGAGGTATTTTAACAACGGGCAGCAGATCTCTAAATAAAGCGTGCCAGCTAAGGCATATATTTCAAAAGTTAATTGGGGGATTTAAGGTAATTATTAGTCTGGATAATTAGTCGGGTAATTATTAGTCGGGCTACGACTTACACTCGTCACCCGACCCCGCCACGGTCTATAACGTTATCTTGAAGGAATCATTCCTTTATTTCAGGTGTCTTTTTTCTTTCGATTATTTTCAGTCTTTGGTGGGACGCATACGAGAGGCTGTTTTTTTAGGCTTTCAAGATTTGTTTAAAAAAAACTATAAAAGCTACACATGCATTCTTTGTATTTTGTAGGTGGTTTATATGGACAGGGGGACATAATTAAGGGGGCTGTTTTCACGATAAGTCAAATAATTAACTAAATTTGTTAATTAACTTTTTAATTAGTGAAAATAAACATGATTACAATTAGAAACTTGCTGAGTATCATCGAAAACTACTGAATAAGTAAATTTTAGGAAGATTTGGAGGGTGTTGGAAGAGGCACAGGACTACCGGTGCGAAAGCACCGATGATAAGAAACGGGAAATCCGCGCTGGCACGCTTTCGCACCTACAGTTTCTTGCACGAGTGGTAACTTCAGCACACCAGTGCACTTCCCACGTGCTCCCCGTATACACCCTGTACATGGGGACACTTTGCTCGGTTATCTTTTGTAGTTGTTACTTTGCATGTTTTCTTCAGCGTGTGTGTGCAAAAACCTTCCGCGACCTTTATGAGTCAACCAAGAATCTTACAAATGCTCTTACTAGAACCTCAAGAATTGAAGTGAACCCAGGTACTCCGAACGATTATTTGCCAGTATGGTTGGTCTTTCAAATCGCACTAAATAACTCCTGAGGCGAGGAAACAAATAAGAAAAAAAAAAAAGGCGACAACCACTGCGCTCCCTTGACGGTATTGTGGTTCCGTTCGTTTTTCAGCTCGATTTCCCACTAGCTCACCTGCATGCTGTCTCTTATTCCAGTCAGCTTGGGAAATTTTGTTCCACGGGAATCTTGTAAAGTTTTCAGAGATACTGGGAGACACGAGAGATATAGCACACAGACTTTTAGTAGACGATCTGGGTATGCGAACCTCGCATACGTTTATGTGCAATCTGCGACTTCTCCAAAATTTTAAATGACCTTTCAGGTGTTCTTCGAGTTTCCCAGACCCAAGAAGCCATTGCATCTAAACTGACATTATTTTCAGGTCACTGGAAACACTGGCATCTCCTCTGCTGCAGCTGACATTGACGCTGAGTTCGGACGACGATCAAGAAGTGGCTGCCAAGAGCTCGTCGCTCTTGGACGAAGTTGCCGAACAGATGGCACACGACACTTCATCTCTCATTGAAATCCTCGAGGAGGACTTCTACAAGGCCCTCGGAAAGTGCCCGCACGTCATCTGGACTGGAAGTAAGTTTTCGCACTCAAAATAAACGAGCGGCACGGGACTCGCTATTGAGAGCGGTTGCGGCAAGCACGTAGCCAGGGGGGGGCCCATAAGGCCCAACCCCCCCCCCCCCCCCCCCCCCCTCCGAAATCTTTCATTTTCCTGGGACCTCCTCTCCCCCCTCCCCCCTCCCCCTCATACAGCATTTTGTCATGGGCGCCCCCCCCCCCCAAACAAAATCCTGGCTACGTGCCTGGGTTGCGGGTGTATTCCGTTGCACCTTAATTGCGTCGGACGTTATGAGTTATCTCAGTCAGTTCAGCACTCTGCACGTACCAGGTGATTTCACAATTCGTGTGTCGCTGCTGCCAACCAGAAGGTCCCTTTAGCTACATATGCTCCGAGTTTTGCATTGGCTCCAGTGGTTCATAGCATCTGCTGCAGTCCATTGTGAGGTGAAATGGGTGATGACAGGTGCCTATAATGTTTATTTATTTATTTACTTCTCAAGGCCAAAGCATTACAAGGAGCGGGTGAAAAATAAAATAAAAAGCAAGCAAATTGACAGGGTAACGTGAAACAATTGCAAATGGCAGATTTAAACACGTTGGTGTCGGTGACGTAAGCGGGAGAGGTGGGGTGGTGACTCTAGTTGGTGCCTGTATCGGGAGCAAAGGAGCCACTTTGTTTAGACTTTTCCTTAAATACTGAGTTGACTCGCATAATGAACGTACTTCCCACAACACGTACCAATATTTGAACATTTTTTTTTCCCTCATGTAATCAACGCATTTCCAATTTTCGGCTTCGCGAGTCTCGAATTGCATCCAATTTAGCTAGCCACCAAGCCAATTTTCTTTTGCCACCAAGCGATCAGGCCAAGTCAATCCAAGCCAAGCCACTCGTAATGGCCGCAAGTGCGTAGTTGCGGTAGGTGCGGAAGTGATCAACCGTGAAACCGAGCGGCACGCACACTTAACAAAGCTTGAGTCGAGGAATTGCCCAGCCCTGGGCATTCTTGGCCTATAGGATGTATTGATGTCAACGAACACGCCGTCGTCTGTGGTCCGCTTTTGGACAGTGAAATCGTGAAAGTGGTTAGGCCTAATTTCACATACTCCGGATAAATCCGTTCGTTTAATCCGTAACCGAACGGCGCAGCGAGGTGCCTGCTACGTTTTAGGTTGAGAGTGTCTGGTAACAGCTGTCTCCATGAATGAAACTTGAGAAACTTGATCTGTGGGAGCAGGCCTCAGCGGCCGGCAGTTGAACTTCGTACAAGCTCTTTTACGCGTTGTCACGGTATACACCTGAGCGCGCCACCGAATACTAGCAAAATATATCACCTAAGAACGGTCATGCTGACTGAGCTTCATAGGGCGCTTTCCTTCAGAAAAAGGCACGCCGTGCCCTAAAAAGGTTTGGAATTTATAAAGCATAGTTACTGTGGCGTGCCCCCGACCAGCGGAGACGTGCCACAGTACCTTGCCGTGTCATATTGGCACCTAATATGACATTTGCATGAAGTGTGCAAATGCAAAAATTTTCTCTTGCGTAATAAATTCCCCCCCCCCCCCCCAACAATGTGTCAATTTTTCGGGAAGAAAACTGTGTTCATTATGCGAGTAAATACGGTAAGACATTTTGTCACCGTCATAATGCAGATTGGTGTGGCTGCTGGTATTGGTGGTCACCGTGGGAAGGAATATATGACAGTGGCAAGAAAAGAGAGTTACCGAGGGTTGGATTAGAGTCAAAACGCGGAAGCAAATGGCTAATAAATTTGTGTATGTATCAATATACCGCTACTGATATGCCGTGCAACGCTTGCCACATTCTCTAGTTTTTTTTGGAGAAATTAGCTTTAACAATCTTCAGTGATCAGCCACTGACAAAGTGGGAAAGGCAGGGAGGAGCTTCAGTTGCCCCGCCTCCAGCGCAAGCCTCTCACCTTCGATAATGCTTCGGCGTCTCATGCACCCTGAGCAGGCGCGCGAAGCAAAAGCACACGGGGGAAGGCATGGAATGCTTGCTGGAAGTTGCACACTTTCGTTCAGACTAAGCCTCCTCTATACTGACAAAGCCTGGCAGATCGTCACGATACACGGCCGCAGAAATGGAAAAGGTAGAGCGGTAGACAACGGATGAAAGGAGAGTCGGGTGACGGGCGCCCCGCTGCGGCGAGACGCCGAAACACACTTCTCCTGAGTGATGGAATGTCCATCGCTCGCGCTACCACTTCCGCTTTGCGCTACCACTTGTTTTCTCGTCGGGTTTGAAAACCATGTTTCGGGTCCTCGCTGCTGCAAAAGCTGTGCGCTGAATACTTGACTCCTCAAGAAATGCTCTCTGCTACCAGATCTTAAATGGAACAGCGTGGATATGCAGTCACACTCAGAGGCACACAAGAAAGAACAGACTCAGCGCCGACTAACAACTTGGTGTTATATTTCTTCTTCCTCAAATCGTCATCTTCTTCTCCTTTGCCGTTAAAGAAAACATTTTAAATACCAGAAACCAAATAGCCAATAAACATTAATAAATAAATAAATGGCAATTAAAAATAAAATGAGAAATAAATTTATAATAAAAATGAAGTTTTAAGCTTTTAGAAAATAAGATGAAAAATGTATTAAAATAAAAATCCTTAAAAGCTTTTTAAAATTTAAAAATTCAAGAATACTATAAAAATAAAAAATTAAACGAAAATTATCCGTCACTATTGGTACTTTGATGTTATCTCGAGATAATCCAATTCTTTCTTTGATAAAGCACTGACGGGGCACTGACGCATTGCTTTTCCAACCTGGCTATTTTTCAGCCTCAATAATTTCTCGTGTCAGCTGATTACCAAACCACCCCTTCAGAGCACGGAACAAAATGCATGTGATGCTTTTTTTATACAACCTAAGGTTCTATCGGAGGATGAATTGACTTTTTTTACATAAACTAGAGAGCTTGTATGGAGCAGAGAACACAATGTTGATGTTTACATGGTTGCCTATCTTTTTAAGACCATGAGAAATAGGGTGAATATAATGAATCAAGGTACCAATAGTGATAAAAAAAATTTTGTGTAACCTTTTTTTAAATTTTTTGTTTTATTTTGATCATTTTTTTATTTTTATTTTCTCAAAACTTAATAATTTTTATTTTAAATTTATTTTTTATATATTTTGGTTGTCATTTATTTATTTATTAATGTTTATTGGCTATTATGTTTCTGATGTTTAAAAATTTTAAACCTTCTCTTTAACGGCGAGGGAGAAGAAGGTGATGATTGGAGGAAGAAGAAATATATCACTGAGTTGTTAGTTGGCGTTGAGTCTGTTCTTTCTTGTGTGCCTGTTAGTGTGACTGTATATCCGTTCTGTTCCATCCAAGCATGAATTACCGACTAGCCCAAGCCTCCACATTATCAAGCTACCAGATCCACGCGCTCCAAATCTGCGACCGGGCAATCTATGGCTGCGTCTTTGAGCTGTCAGGCTTTGTGAGTATAGAGGAGGCTATGGTTCAGAGCATCCTAGTGTAAGTAGGGTATTATATGCAATGACCTTACTAACACATGTGCTAGGCTCAATCGTTCCAGGTTGCTACGTGGCTTACTTGAGCAAAACGATTTGCACGGGCTCATCAGTTCGCCACTTCACACTTTAATTTCTGCAACCATCTGAATGGTGACCTTAAAGGACATTGTGGACACAAATTGAAACTTGTCTGAGAGTACTTCCAATAAAGTGCATTGAATGTTGAAAACGTTTAGAGAAGTGTCCCTAATTGTACCTTGAGATGAAATTGATCAGCAGCTCCTTTCCTTCGTAACTTGTTTTTGATTCCTAACACTGCAGTGTGAGTAAGAGTTCTTTCCACGTGTCATCATTCCATCCAATGGATGGTCAAGAATCTTTTTTTTTTTATTGTTGCAGGATTCTCGGGTCATCTGACATTGAGTGGGACAGTAAACATACTCAAAAAAGATTGCACTTTCACTTTTAATTTTCCTTTTATGCATTTATATGTGAACGCCTAGCAAAATAGGAGTTGGGTGTTTTTTTTTAAATAGACAGAAATGGGCAGCCTTTTTGTTTACGGTGCTTGTTTTGCAGGCGACGCTGAAAAACTGTCTCTTGTCAAGCTCCTTTCTGGATACCTCACAATTTTTCGTAAGTGATTGCATTCCTTAATAAGCTTTTTTCCCCCTTTCGTGCAAAGTCGCAGAAGCCGAATAATAATCTTAAAAGTATAATTTTGTGAGCTTTATTTAGCTACTATTTATTTATTCTTACAGGAACTAAGGTGGCCAAAATCTTGGTGTCAACATCTGTTTGCCAGAGGTTGTTGAATGTATTGTTTCTGCTGACCGAGTTTGAAACTGGCAGCATGAACCTCTTGGCTGAGCAGCCGGCGTCTCTAGGTATGCCCACACTGTTTCCACGACCGTAAAGCATTTGAATCAGCAGACACTAATGCGTGACATGTGGTTAATATTTCGTTCCTTTTGGAAGTGTTTATTTTTTTTTTTTTTCAGACTTCTCAGACACCACCGAGTATGGACTAAAAAGCTATCACAGGCAGTTCAAGCACTTTGCAGACGTCCGCATCTTCAAAGAGTTTTCTACAGTCTGCAGACTTTTAGGGTGTTATGGTAAGACCAGTTTACATGTCTGTCTAATTTAGAATCATTTGTGGTTAGATATCTTTCTGAAAAGGTTAATTTTTGAAGCAAACTCTTCTGACATGAAGCAATTACTCTATACAGTCATGTTTCGTTGGACACCTCCATTCCCCCCGAAGATTATACTTGATGTGAGTTGTTCATAATAATGAGACAGAGACGCATGTATCTGACCAGTTCGTCTCCGAATATTGTATCGATTTAGCGGGGTTATTCATATTTACATGGTCCATATTAATAAGACATGACTGTAAAGGGGCCATTTTTAAAGTTTGTTGCATAGTATGTTTTATGTCATCAGTGGTCACCTGTACCATGTTTGGTTGTCTATACTGGAACAGAGAATGTGGTTTGTGTAATTTTCAGATAATGACCGAGCTTTCTGATATTTGCAATTTATTCTGGAATGTAGAAGAACTTGTAGTTGTGCGAGTTGGTGAACGTTGGAAATCATGGTGTAAGGCGCAAAAAACAACGGACACAAGCGAGAAATCAGACATATATAGGCGCCATTATTCTGGAATGGCTGGTGTGGTCGTGACTACACACACAGAATGCTTTGCAAGAAGAGCAGAAGAGAAGGAAGAGCATCAATGATGGCAGGGAGGCTCCGGCATCGTGCACGGCCATCGAGAGATGGCGCTGTTAATGAATGATCTAGCTTTTTGTATTCTTTTCAAAAGTGTGTTTAGTGCTACTACTAGTACTTATTCTCTTTTCTATATGTATGGTACAAGGTACACACACTAGGTCGCGAAGCTAAGAGGCACTTTCGTCACACAGATTGTCATTTCTAGAGGTATTTCTCAATTAAAAGGCTTAACTCTAATCTTTCGCATAGCAGATGTTTCAGTGAAGACTTAAAAATGGAGCAAAAGAGGTAGCTCTTTTCGGGAACGAATTTCCAGCCACGGTAGATGTCAGGGATTGCAAAAAACATACTAATTAGCTAAATAATTAACTGAAATGTACTAACCTTTAAGTTAATGTTAAGAAACATCTGGTTCCAATCAGAAACTGGCTGAGCGTCATTGAAAACCCCTACATCAGTCAATTTAGGAAGACTTAAAGCATCTGTGAAGTGCTGAGGTGCGCTGAAGTTACCACTCTCGTTCAGTAGGCACAAGGCTGGCGATGCTAATGTGCTGTTAATCGGTAAATTTAAATTAACTATTTAACTAATTGGTATGTTTTTTTTTAATTCTTCCTGATATCTGCCGTGGCTGGCAATGTTCTCAAAGTTTTTTGTTTTTTTTAATTATCCTGTTGGAATTTTTGAAGTCCTTCCTGAAATGCCCAGTGTATTAGGTAGAGCTTAACTGTCAAAAATAAAAAGAGGGGTTAAGTGGCACAAACTGCCACCCAATTAAAAGGGTTTACTCATGCATACCCATCCATCCCTCTGTCTATTGTCCTAAGGAAAATGTTTTTGTTGCTACAATAACTTTGTTTTAGCACAAAGGTCGTAGAGAAATTTCAGCCTGGTTCTTTCTACGTTTGCTCCAGGTGATGTCATGCTGCTGACGGACGTCCTTCACCAGAAGATCCAGGAGTCTGCGACGCAGAGGAAGCAGGCCATCCTGGTGCTGAACAACGTCCTGCTGGCCTTCAGGGACAGGAAGTCTGACATTTCCGAGAGCGACGAAACAGACCGGATGAGCTACCTGAGGTGATGCTAGGCACAGGCCTTTCAGGGGAAAAGGAGCAGACGTCTTGCAAAAGACAGACCGGTCCAAGCTCGTGGCTCCATAGTCGGTGACAAGTTAAGAGTTTGTGGGAAGCTCCTCCCACCTCTTTCCACTTCAGCAGAATGAATGCTGGAGAGGAGGTCGCCTCCTATCCAGCGCTTGCTCTGCAAAAGTAGAAAGAGGTGGGAGGAGCTGCCTTTGAACTCTTCATTAACCTGTCATCGACTATAGGTTAGGTAGCGTTATATAGTAGAACCTCGATAATTCAATCTCGATTTATTCGGAATCCCAAATAATTCGCAAAATTTCCACGGACCCGCAACTTTCTCATCAAAATCTGACCGGATAATATGAGCACTCCTCGCATGCCTACCTGGTCAATTCGCCGATTTGGTCTTCCAGGTTAAATTTTTAGTTGCTAGGTGGCGCCGGTTGGCATCCAGATTCGGCAGCAAAAACAAAGATGGTGCACATCTTCACTGATTCGTTTCCTGTTTGCTGGTCCATGTGCTTTGTACAGTGCAATACACTTATAACGATAATGAGAAAACCCGAAAATGCAATCGTCGTAACCAATTATCGTTGTAGCTGGACTAGAAACTGATCGCAATGATGTGATTGCTGCGCCAAACTGCGCCAAGGGGATAACCCTGCTACATCCTGCTACATTTCGCCAAAATATGGGTAATCTGCGCCAAGCCTGCGCCAAAGGACCAATTTAGGTCACTTTTCAAAATCGAAACTAAACTGAGTACTGTAATTGAGCAGGTGTGTGTTATGTGGCACAAATGGCCGCCTGACACAAAGTACCGTTCATCAATTGTCCACCCGGTCTTGCATAGTTTTCCCGGCATCTCGCGTTTCGCGCTCTCGTCTTGTGGGGCTCATCTCTCGTCTCTTTTTTTTACATTTTCAGCGATGGACGCGGATGTATGCAGACGTTCCGACGCTAGCGGGCTGGGTACCAGCCATGCCGTCATGCTGTGAAACGAAACCATGTTTTTGCGCGGCAGGAGTTACTTTGGGAGCTGAAGCAACGGCCGTGGGAAAACTATATTTGGTCACTGCCTTTCAGTCACCGTGGTCGCGCAACGTCGAATGTTGCCGTCCCCACATCACTGCAGATATGGTACTTTCTAAAATGAAACTAAGTACTACCGCATGTTCATCAACATTCCTGTTCTTGTTTAAATCATATGTTACTACGAAAATCCATCTTTAATTCAAAGACTGCTCTGTCAAAGTATTGATTATCTAGATTCCTCTCGGTGGGCCTTCTTTCGAGAGGGACTCTGGTTCATGAAAAATCTGCCGTGAAAGAAAGTTGGCGAAGAGAAGTGAGCTAAAGCAAAGAAGGCAATGTCTGCACACTAAACCCACACAGCGTGTTTGTTTGTCTCGAGTTCAGTCGTTGCACAAAGCGCTCCAAGAACGTTTTAGAGCTTGCTCGCAATGTCTTGCATTGACGCACTCAGGTTCTTTATTTTTTGTGTGTTTAGCTTGTACCTTGTTTGCCGGCCCGGCAAGCACGCGCCACTGGACTGTTTTTGTTGCATGCTCGAAAGTTACATTTTGGGGGTAAGTTAGCAACGGAGCTGAGGGGCATGGTTTCGGTTTGATCGGACAGCCGTTGTCTGCGCTCGCGCGATGAAGCATGCCCGACAGCAGCCTGTCAAAGTTGGCCTCACGTGTATGCGAACATGATTGCGTGACTGAGGCACCAGCTGGGATGCTTGCAATTCATTGTTTTATGTTTGCTTACTTTTGACGAAAATCTGGCACTTCTGGAACCAGTAAAACGGTGGCAAGCGGTTTTTCGAAATTGCTTGGCAAGGCCTACAGCACTGTACATTTGTGGGATGTCTGAGCAGTAAAAACAGAATCAGCGAGTTCCGTCACAACACATCACAAGCTGCCCTTCATTTGGACAGCACTTAAGACAAATATTTTTATTTTCCTAAGAATATCTGCTCCAAAATCCACTTTTGCTGCTCTGAAACACTGTCTTGGCTGCTCCAAAAGCTGCTTTTGCTGCTCCAAAACACTGTTTTGGTTGCTCCAAAACACTGTTTTGGTTGCTCCGAAACGTGCGCCAAAATGGCTTAGGCCAATCACATTACTGTGATCGTTTTTAGTCTAGAAACTCTAGAAACTGATAGTTATAAGCGGTATATCGTTATATGTGGTATCATTGTAAGTGGCTTGCATTGTAGTCTCTTTGTTTTTTTTGAGCTTGGGCAGGCATTGGGCAAGCTTAGTCACTCTCGCCTCACGTGGAGTTGATGTTCAGTGTCAGTGATCTACCGGGTGAAACAAGGAGACGGTAGGCTCTTTAAATCGACCGGAAAATTCGGTTTCTTAACCTATCGCGCTACGACTTTGCGCAGCGTTGCCCACACATGGTGCATTTTTTTCGTAAAATTTGCAAAGAGCGGACTTACCTGAGGAAAAAGTAAAGAAAGAAAAAGGCTTAGCTCCTATGGAAACGCAGCGACGCCACCGGTCTGCAATCAACACGGCGCCGTTTTGCACGGTAGACAAGAGATGGCGCAAGGGGTCGCGACGCCAACTGCCGCCGACGAACGAGCAGACGACGCCGAGAGCCGGCGTAATTAGCAGACAAGGAACTGCAGTTCCTTGTTGTTACCGCGCCTGTCTTTTTTGTATCTGCGACTGTCGCCGCCTGCGGAACGCGCGCCGCTTTTGAATTGGAAATTTCGTCTGCTAAAGAGCCTTTGAGGAATACCTCGGCCGGCTCTCGGCGCCCGTATGCTCGTTCGTTGGCGGCGTTCGTTGCGCCATCTCTTGTCTACCGTGCAAAACGGCGCCGTGTTGATTGCAGACCGGTGGCGTCGCTGCGTTTCCATAGGAGCTAAGCCTTTTTCTTTCTTTACTTTTTCCTCAGGTAAGTCCGCTCTTTGCAAATTTTACAAAAAAAATGCACCATCTGTGGGCAACGGTGCACGAAGTCGTAGCGCGATAGGTTAAGAAACCGAATTTTCCGGTCGATTTAAAGAGCCTACCGTCTCCTTGTTTCACCCGGTATATTCTTGGCACTCGCGCTGCCGTGGTTCGGGCTGTTACTGAACCACATGTAAGCGATTTAGCGAGCAAAAAGACAAGCGACGACCACATCGACGAGAGTCAGCAACAATCGACGGAGATTTTTCACTGTCGCCCGTCGTGTCGCTCATCGCCTTGGTCGCTTGCTCTTGTCACTTTCATGCGGTCTGCTTCGTCACGCGATTGACCGAGTGACAACAAAGGGGGTCACCATCGCTTGTCTTGTTGCTCGCCAAATCGCTTACATGCTACCGGCCGTGGAGCAGGAGGATGCCGCAAGTGCTAGTGCCAGTATTGTCCCTGGGAATGACGATGAGGGAGAGGTGCTTTGCTCCCACATTAAGAACAGTGACGGTGAGTCAAGTGGCATCAGGTTCACAGACTACTTAAACATGGAAGAGAATGAGTAAACCTGCTACGCGGAGTGCGTAGCAGGTTTACTTGAGAACGAAATCACTGAGTGCGACGGCAGAGATTGATGACGAGGATGAGCCCCCTCGGGCACCCGCTTTAGGGGAAGTTATACACTCACTGAATGTCGTCCACAGCTTTGGGGAATGTAACGGCGATGATTCTGAGATGTTGCACCTAGTTAGCCTTCTTGAAAATACGACGGACGGCGCCGCTAATTACAGAACGCGGCAGTCCCATATCGCCGACTACTTCGGGTGATGTTCTCTCGTTTTGACTACTCATTTTGAATAAAATGTTCGCTTCAAGATTCAAGGCTTTATACACAATTTTTTGGCCTTTTTTTTTATTTTTGGATAATTCGCAAATCTGCTTAAAATTCACACATTTTTCGCCGTCCGACCGACTTCGAATTAACAATGTTCTACTGTATTTAGGTTTGGATTAAGTCGGGTCAGGTGACGGGACGTTAAAATTGGGTTAGGAAGGGGGAAAGACAGTACATCTCGACAACATTGTGCATTCTGTGTTCTTTTGTGGCATTGGTTTGATAAAGTAGCTTTTTGGGTGTGCTGACTTTAAGCAGTCTGTGCGACAGTGTGAAACATACGTTGTAAGCCCATCTGACAATACGGGCAGACCAATGAAATCATCTGCCATGCGTTTGCAATACTGGTCGTACAGACAGTGGTGTCGGAAACGTTTGGCTGATGAGGGGGCAACGGGAGGAAAGGGGAAGAATGATTCCCCCCACCCCCCTTCAAATTGTTCACTAGAAATCTGAAATATCTAAGGGAAGGGAAGTCACCCCCCCCCCCCCCCCTGTTCTTACGTCACTTCTTGGAGAGCGTTAGGAATAAGATGGACCGGTAATTGAGTTTTCCCTTCATCTACTACTTCCGCCATCTAGGTCACTTCTCGAGTATTACATCTCGGCGGAGATGTGGAACTTGCCCCTGCATGGCGAGACAGAATTCGACAGCAGTGCAGAAACTCGCTTGGCCATTTTTTCTATTGACAAGGTAAACTCCAATGTGCTACAAAACTGCCTGTTGCTTGAAGGAGTGGCTACCATTGCATTGGTAAGTTTGTCTTGTTACAGCGCTAAAGTTGCCTGCACGTGAGGTGCTTATCGTAATATTGCAAAGTTCCATGCCATTCTAAGTAGGGCAACTTCAATGGACGCCCTTTATGAAGGGTGGGCCTCTTTGAGGTTTGCACAATCAAGCTGGAATTAAGCTAGCAAGAGAAAATAGCTTGTCTCTGTTGAAACTGTTAGATACCTGTTTGCACCAGCTATAGTTGCAGATGGGTGGTTGAAACTGACGCTTATGATGATTTGTACAGTAATGGAAATGTCTTTGTTACACCGGTGTGCATCAGGGCCATTACTTCCTTTGTGCTCCCCAGTCTAAGTGGAGTCCGAGGTAAAGTAGAGGGTTTGAGGCATTTGAAAAATAACCAAAGGGCATATCAAGCATTCACCCCAGCCTTCTGGATTCACCTAGCTAACTGCGGTACTCTTCCGCCTCAGCTGTTTCTCTGAGCCCACCGGTGCTATGCAAAGAAGTGGGTGGGACTATTGGTGAAGCCCACTTTAACTTGTGCCAAGTGGGGTAGCTCGAAATTCTTTCCTGCGGGGAAGGGGGGGGGAGAGAGAGAGAGAGGAAGAAGGGAAGGGAAGGGGGGGCGGGCTGGGATGGCTGGACTCCAAATTACCTGAGGAGGGGGCATGCTACACCTATGTATCTATGTATATAATGTCCACTACATCTTGGGTGGGGCGGGGGGGGGGGGGGGGGGGGGGGGGGGTAGTGGGTAGTGGGTAGGGAGGGAAGTAGGGAGGGAGGAGGAGTCTCATGGGCCCTTTTCTCCCCCACTGCCCGTCCACTGGCCTGCACTTCTGTTTGTGCCGTTTCTGCGTGTTTGCTCTTCATCTTACAGGGGCACTGAAGTCGATTCTGAGATCGCCCTTTTGTGCCGACAACTCAATCTAGACGCTCTAAGCATCCCAACAACCCTGGAATAACAATCGTGTGTAGCTTATTTCCTTGTTAAGAGCGTGTTCAAAAATCGCGACACGCCCTTTTTGGGAAGAATTTTCTTCCGAGTGAAGTGGTTGACGAAGAGCGCTTGTGGGCGAGTTGCAAGTGATGGCTTCGTCCGCGGAGAAAAAGAGGAGTCTTATCCGAACCTGTACCTATCAGACTCTCTTCGAAACAAAGTTATAATACAATGGAATCGGCGCGTATTGTAGGGCTCTCATTGGCCCACACAATGTAGTCTGCGAGAGAAAAGACTCCACATGTTTTTCTATTGCTTTGAGATGAATAGGCGGTTTTGTAATATAGGACTTGTTATATGTGGGAACTAACACGTTTTAACAAAATATAAGAACATAAACAACCTTTTTCAAAAATGACTTCAGTGCCCCTTTAAAGGGTAACTGCAAAGAAAAAAAAGTTTTTTTTTAAACAGCCTAATTGGGACAAGCATGTCACAAAACAAATGTTCCGCGAAAAAAATGATTTTTTTTATCAATATTTACGCCACAGGACGTAATTTAGTAGAGTCAGAACCTCTCCACATTTGAAACTCCCGCTCTTTCGACCCCCGCGGAAGAGGAGTACGCCCCGCCCCTCACTCTCCTTGCGTTGCGGAGTTGAACCGGCGCAGCGTCTCGACTTCCGGCAAGATCTGGCAACTACGCCAGGCCGCGGTATTGTTTTGGTTGTTATGGTTTGACGCGGTTTGCGAGCACATGTGGCGAAGACGTGACCGGAGAAGTGCCCCTGTGATGTTCCCGGATGACGGAAAGTATCGTTCGTAATCGTCGTGAGCGCTTTGAAAGCGAAGGGAGTCACAGAATCCACGAGTGCGCAACCACAAGCCAAGGTTCATGACAGCGCTGCGTTGGTTTCGGCGCTCTCGTTCTGTTTGGTGCAACACGGCGATGCGACAGAGCTGAAACGTTCGTGGTGTGTGTAATGTGGCGGTGCTAACACGGAGCGCAAATTGGTTGTTGTGGGGTTGACGTTCAACCAGATAAGTCCCGTCGTCGTCAGCTGATCCAGTCAAACTGGTCCGGGAGGACGCTGGGAGCGTTTTTAAAAGTAAATCTGCCTCGTTCTGTTTCAAAATGTGGAAGTTTCCCGACGCATACCGTGAGTAAAAAGCTGCGGGCGTTTTCAATGAAATTACGTCGTTTTAATTGAACAATGGACTCCGAATTGTTGTCCTAAATCTGCCGTTTTTATGCTTCGTGTTGGACTGCGTTTGCACAGCGACGTGTTGCATCGTGCGGTGTGAATAAATTTGGGCACGATTTCGTACCTGCCTACCGATGCATGAACTGAGACCACTTTTTACGTAGTGAACATAGTGCTTTTTTATTTTCTGTCTAGTCGCGGACGTTAGGTGCACACGGGGCGAATATCGACGGCCTCCAGAGCGATATGACGAGAACGTAACTAGACACGTTGGTCGCTACGCGAACGCCCGATTGCCTCCAGCCAAATGGCATTCCTTTCGGGGCGACATGGCTGCTGGAAGGCTCACTGTCGGGATCACGCATCTGACATCTCCGAAAAGTCAGCATTTGCACGCGCAAACAAGCAAAACAAACACGCTAAGCAAGCAAAGAGGAAGACGAAAGAACCGCGCTATGAAAGCCAAAACCCCGCGTCGCTTCCTATCACTAACACCTGCGACAGCTGCTAAACACACACTACTTCACTTCAAGAAGTACCTGGGTCAGTACGAAACGACGAAACACTGATCACATTGGCGAAACGATTAGTCGAGGTAGGCGAGACAGGCGGGAGCAGAGACTTCGGCGGCCATGAAAGAATGGCGAAGCTTCTGTTTGTATGAATCCAAACGGAAGTGCCCGTCTTGTAAACCTTTTGTAAAGAATAATAACTCTCATCACATGGGTTATTCTTTAAACGTAAAAATATGCCGCTCAAAAGGAAATTGCGACATATAACAAAGGTTTAACAACCAAGATCTAAGCTGTCAATCAAACTCTTAGCCAATGAGAACCTTTTGGGATTGACGTCACATAATCACAACTTCGTGGCGCGCGATTTAAAACGGACGAAATAGCCGCAAACTAAAATGAGTCTCACGCAATAAATATTGCTGCAAAAAATGTTTTTTCTCGCGGAAAAATTGTTTTTTGACATGCTTGTCCCAATTAGGATATTTAAAAAAAAAACTTTTTTTTCTTTGCAGTTACCCTTTAAGGAGTTCTCATCCCACAGTTTCTTAACATTGTGTCCAACATTTGGGTGGGTGCTTTCTCTGCATTTTACATTTGTTTTTCGTTGAGTTAAAGCCTTTTTACGTGAAACGTCTTTCATTTCAGTTTAGTAGGGGGTCACTTGCTAAAACCGCACGTGACAAGAACATGTAACACTAATATTGCTTATATCTTTGCAACCGTAATACCCGTGCGCCTTACTTTGGTATCGTTGCACAAAGAAAAGAAGCCATTACTCGATCACGCATGTGTCGCGTGTGCAGATGGCACCGTTGTCACGCCATGCATGATGCAATCGGAGCTAAATTGAGCCTCACACGCGGAGTTCACAGTGGTATAGCTCGGTAGTATGTTTTATCGATCCGAGCTGGAGTGGTTGCGTTTGAGAGATCTTACTCTGCCCTAGTAGGTATAATCCATGAAACTCAAACTGGTGCTCATCAAGAGTTATAAGGCTTACAAGTGTATCATTTGTTGCAGAAATTTTGCGGTTGCTCGGTTATGGCACCCCTGTGTGCAACACGTAGGGTTCATAAATTGCGCGAAGAGACTTGGGCAGCGAGACAGAGATGTCAGTCCTATCCCCATCCGCTTTAACCATGGCAGAACATGTCCCTCTTCATAGGGATCGAACAGGGAGCAAGCACAATGGCACCATTAGACCGTAAGACCCTCACTAGCTATAACGTGAGTTAAGCATGTAAGCTTTGTAATGCGTGAATAAATGTAAGTGGTGTATGTGGTTACATCATTTCTGTACCCTAGTGCTATGGTGACTAGAAGGGGAAGTGTGAAGGGTGCCATAAGCGGGCAATGATAAAGGGGGTCAAGAGGTACAATGAAAACTTTTAGAAAGCCTACCGTAATATCCCGAGTCATCACCTATCCCCAAGTGAACGCCCACCCCCTTTTTTGGCCAAATACCGATTTCCGAAAAAGCACAGCGTGATCGCCAACCCGTAAAAATACCCCAAAGTGGACTCCGCATTCCACGAACATTCATCGTACCCGAATGACGCGGCCGCGAACCTTGCCGTTGGAGTGCGTTCGTGGAAAGTAAAATGAAGGAGGGAAAGGCACTTCTTTTTGTTTACACATTTCGACCCCGATTTGCGCGACCCCAAAGTCGTAGTACATGCGTGCGAAAGGAAAACAATGGAAATGACGAAATGAAAATTTGTTTTGCTTACAAAAAAGTTTGTTCGGACAAAAAGAGCAAAGTCAGAAAGATAACACAAGCAGTAACCCATTCAGGGATTGCGAGGTCAGCGAACGCGCCATATCCTCGAAGGGCACTGCACAGTGTAAGCTCAAAGCCCATTTCCACCGAAGTATAGTCACCACGAACACGTTTCTTCTCCCAGCACGTCGCGACCGCGGTGGGTAAGGAAGTGCAATGTTCAAGACAAAGCCAACGGGTAAATAAAGATTTGCTGGAACAACACACACAGACATTTGTAGAGCGTCCCATTTCAGGCTTCGTGTTCATGGTGTCGTCCACGCCACGCAGCAACGCCGCCTCAACCTGCGTTGATAGCACACCATGCATGGACACATGCATGTAAGAACCAAACAAGAAGTTGCACAAGGGCCTCCTCCTTACGATTGACAAGGCGGCCGACTTGGCCCGACACCAAAGTATTCGCCAATGCTATCGCCGGCTTTAGCACTTCTTCAGCGTCGCTCTTCATCGCTTCTTTCATCTGCTCGCTCGTTGCGCCTTGTTGGTTTTTTACAGCGAAGCTATTCTAAGCTAGGGTCTAGGAAAAATGCGTCCTCACGTGTCAACAGAAAACTCCCCATTGGCTGTGGCAAGTATGAATAAATAAAAATAAAAAGATAGGGAAACCCACGTGGGTCAGCCTTCCTTGGCATTACCGTATTTACTCGCACAATGAACGCACTCGCGTAATGAACGCACCCCCCAAGTCGGCTCTCAAAATTTCGACTTTCACTCGCATAATAAACGCACCCCCAACTTGGATGTCAAAATTTTGACCCCCTCCCCCCACGCGCGCGAAATGAATGCACTTTTCTATCCTGGTGCAGCGAGGCCGCGAATGCATGGGCAGCGTGGGCGACAAAACGCCTTGCAAAACGCGTTAAAAAAATTCACAAAGATCCAACAGAAGCAAGAAAAAAAAACATGGAGAGTTTTTTTGTTTGCACAGCACAGTTTGGACTTCGGGTTCGCGCGCCGCCGCGCGCAAGGAGGTAAGAAAGAAGCGCTCTAAGCGAACGAAACAGCTTGCGAAAAGCGGCAAAAAAAAAAAAAAAAAAAACTTTTTTTTTTTTTGCACAGCGCAGTTAGGTTATTGGGGGTCGCGCGCAGCGCGCAAGGAGGTAAGAGCGGAGAACCCCTCTAAGCAAACAAAACAACTTGCGAAAGGCGGTAAAAAAAAAAAAAAAAAAAAAAAACCCACAGAACTGAGAAAAAAACAAGAAAAAGAGGAGCTTTTTTTTTCTTTTTTGCACAGCGCAGTTTGGTTAAGGGGGGGTCGCGGGCCGCGCGCAAGGAGATAAGAAAGATAAGCGGAGAGCCCTCGCCTAAGCAAACAAAACAGCTTGCAAAGGCGGCAAAAAAAAAAAAAACCAAAGAACTAAGTAAAAGTTTTTTTGTTTTTTTTTTGCACAGCTTAGTTTGGTTACGGGGTTGGGCGCCGCCCGCAAGGAGATAAGTTACTTCGATTTTTCAGGATAAAAGGTCCGTTCATTATGCGAGTAAATAGGGATGCAAAAATTTTACTTCGCGTAATGAACGCCCCCCCTTCCCCCCCCCCCCCCCCAACTTTGCATTGATTTTTCGGAAAAAAAAGTGTGTTCATTCTGCGAGTAAATACGGTATTAGATAGTGAGGTCCTGATCCCTTGTTATCATCTCTAAGCATCGTCCTTCAGGTGGTCCTAGAAGTTGTCCTTGAGGTCGTTTGAGAGATTGTCCTAGGCGTCTAGGACGACCTAGGCAGTGGTCGTTTAAGGCAGAGACGCTTCCAAATGATGAACGCTTTCGTCACCTCTTTGCAGCTTGACCCCAATGGAGCAGTTGGACACTCTCTGTAATACAGGCTCTCTAAAAAATATGGGGACCGCTGACTTGCCTGCTGGCTGCAGTGCCCCAGCGGTCTCCAAAATTTTCATTGCGGAATTCAGGCGCATGACCCGTTCAGTGGGTGAAGCGCGCGCCATTAATGTTGCCAAAGAAAATACAGTCTGACATGGTGCCGCACACATGCCATGTCAAAGGAGTGCGCAAGTTGCGAAGAAAATTTTTGCCACTGCGAGGGGCCCTGCAGTTTGCAGGAGAGTCGTTTTTATCGCAACTCTGTGCAGCCCTTTTCTCCCTTCATCGCACTTTCCCTTCCAGTCACCATGCTAGTGCCCATACATATTCTGCAGCACACACAAGACATTTCACATACCCCACTGTGGCTGTATTCCCGACATAGGCTACCCAAATTTTTTTTAGAGGAAAATTGAGTATGTTTGCATTTTTTCTTTCTTTCTCTTCTTTTTGAAAGGACTGCATGTGCAAATGTAGTCATCCAGTTAAGCCTTTGTTTTTGTTTTTCTTCACCCCTGCCAGCTGCTGGAGGCAAAGTTCCAGCCCTTGCTGAGGGTGAGCCTCTGCCCACTGCTCGAGAAGGCGGACAGCCAGAACCATCTGGTGTCCCAGACGGCCTGCACGGCACTGCTCTGCGTGTCCCGAAGCTGCGGCTACGGGCAAGTGCGCTCGCCCAGGGATCCCGCGAGCTTCCTTTTCGGAAGTCTCCAGTTGAGATTGTAAAGTCTAGGGGCTAGGACGGGTGGGCAGGACTGCAGCTGAGGGGGAATCGGGCGAGGGGTCGTGCTGCATACTAGAGAGGCACGAAAGCAATTTCTGCCTTCACCAGTTTTGATCCCGACAAACATCAAAACGTTTGAGTAATGCCGTGTCGGCTTGACTCTCCAATTGAGCATGGTGACTGGCGTTTCATCATTTAGAACATTTTGGAATGACGTTTAACATTATCTGGATGCTCGCTGGAGCTGTCTGGCTGATAACCTGTGAGTGCGCTTCTGCTGTGGCACAGATGTACGGCGGCGAGTGACCCATGGCATCCGGAGAAACAATTGTTCTGTGAGAATCTTAATGTGGACATTGTTTTAAGCTCAAGAATGGCCGCTTAGTATGTTTAATTGCTAGAGAAATTTATTGTGCTCTCGAAAATACAGAAAAATAAGAGTGGTCTATGATATACATTATATTGAATGTGCTTTGGGTGGAGTGAAGTAATTTACATTTGCCTGCTGTAACAAGGCTAAGCTGCAAGATTGATGGCAAATGAAGATGTGTTTAAAATATAAAGATTGGATAACTTGGCAGGCTTAGAGAGTGTGGGATTTACCATATCTTATTGAAATAGTTTGGCTGTATTTCCTATTTGTATTGCAACAGTGTCTACGTACGAGGTAGCCCTAAAAAGCACGATTTAGTTAGAAAAGCATTTTTTTTAGCTCATTAACTACTACATATTTTGGTAATGCATGTTCTATGTTTTGAAACAATTGGTACAGTATTTAAAGTCATTCGGTTCGATTCAAAGTTTACGGTGGGACGACTATCACATTAATTTTCACTTTAATCTCAAAAGTTACAATTTGTGCATGGGTATCTCCCAGAGTGCTGTGGCCCCAGGACAATAGACTGAACTTTTGCAATCCAAACCTTTCTACTATGAATGATATTTCAGAAACTAGACCACAAAGTGGAAACACTAGGTAAACAGCAGGAGGTCAGACAGGAAGGCTTTTAACAAGATTGTAACTTACCGTGAATCTCGGTATTATACTGATCAGATCTACCGTGGACCAATTGTGTTTCTTTTTGCTTTTAGAAGTTTGTGCTTTGTCAAGGCAAGGCTGACCCATAACATACCTGTATTGCCTTCTCTTTCCAGTTCCATATCAGAACTGATTCGGCAGAATGCCGACTACATCGCGGACTCGCTGCTTTTTAAGTTGAAGCATGCTAGCCGCCACCCAGAGGTGCCGCACATAGTGCAGGCGCTGACAAAGCACAGCAGTTGCGATGCCATCGGCCTCATACAGGATGTGGGCTACGAGGCATGTTGCAGATTTTCTCTTTTGTATATTCTTGCTTTGGTTGGCTTTAGGCTTGTAAGTTTTACGATAAGCTGTGTAGCAATGAAATGACTTGCCTTTAGTCATAATTTATTGTTTTTTGTTCATACTGCCTTTGACTTCTGATCATGTAGGTGTGAAAAATTTACCGGGAGCTTCCATAGAAACTTGCTTAGCTATGAGGTCTCTTTGAAAGTAGTATTAAGTTATTGCTATATTTTAACACCAATTTGGGGCACCTCTAAAAATGTGCTATAATAAACCAGACGGTGTCTTATAGTGGCCGCCATAACTGATCAATTTTACCCAAAATTTCGGTTAATGCATACCATATTTTTGCGCGTATTACCCGCCCCTGCATATAACCCACACCCCCAACTTACGACTGTTAGAAAAAGAAAAAAAAAAAGACCTCGCGTATTACCTGCATAATGACCCACGGAAAGCAAATGTCAAAGTCACCAAAAACAGTACCTTTATTGGAACATTACTTATCGTTGCAGTCACTGCAGCTATCCGTTAAAGAATCTTCATTGTCCCAAAGAGCGTCGTCATCCATTGTGTCCAGGCGATTGCTGATACAGCACTCTCTAAAACTCTTGCAAATCATCTCTGCAGGAATCGTCTTCCATGCGTTGATAATCCACTTGCAAAGTACTGCTATGTCAGGTTTGCGGATCGGGCCCATCGGTTTGAGGTCGTACTGCTCCTATGCAATCCACTCCGTGTACATGCGCTTCACATGCACCTTAAAAGGCTTCTTCAAGCCAACATCCATCGGTTGAAGCACGGACGTCATCCCGCCTGGGATCATGACGAGGTCAGTCTTGTCATCTGCGAGACGGGTCTTCACTTCCTCGGTGTTGTGGCCCCGGAACGCGTCCAGCACTAGCATGGACCTCCGCGCTAACATCGCGCCCGGCCTGTTCTTCCACATGGTTTTCAACCAGTCGACGACAAGATGACTGTTCATCCAGGAGTTGTCCTCCGCACGGAAAACTATCCCGGCGGGAAAATTAGCGGGAAGCGTCTTGCGCTTGAAGATCACGTACGGTCGTAGCTTCGTGCCATCTGCTAACGCGCACGACATCACTGTGCAACGCAGTTTCGAGTTGCCGCCCGTCAAAATGCTCACCAACTTGGAGCCCTTTTTCTGAAGAGTTGTGTCCAGTGGCAGTTCAAAGTACACGAGAGTTGTGTCCGCGTTACCAATCTGCAAGTACAAGTACTCGTGTCGCTTTCGGAGCCTGATCACGTAGTGCTGGAAGTTCACTAACTTCTCATCGTAGGCGTCAGGAAGTCATTGGCATAAGGTCATTTGACTCCAGAAGGAAAATCCTTGGCGTTACAAGCTTCCGCATGTAAAAGTGGGAGGGGAGAGAGGATTTATTTCAACTGAAGTGTAGTGCTGTGACTCATTTTTAACCATTTTTTTAATACTCATTGTAAATGGAAGCTAGTCTTAGCAGAGCCTTACTTTTAAAAAGAAGGCTCTGTGTTCCTTTTGCACCCTATCTGTTATTACGAAAGGTAGTAAGTAATATGCTCCAGTTTCAAAAAGGAACCCTCAATCGTCATTGAAGATAAACTCAGTTGTTAGCAATGCAATTACTTTTCCTTTTTCAAGTTATGTGCTACACTCTGTTCACTGTTAAGCTGAGGCTGCTTCCAAAGTCCTCGCTGTGAGACGTGCCTTTTTAGCGCAAGCGCCTTTTCTGCGGAAGAATGTTTCAAAGCCACAATCTTGTGCTCTCGTGCTTGTGACATTGGTTGCCATCTCTAACAGATGTTGGCATCTGCTCCAAAAGTGCCGGTGCCTGCTCTAAACCGATGTTAAAGCGATAGCTTTAAGGGGCTCGTGTCACAGAAAAGCCGGCGTCAGCTTTAGTGGGACAGGAAAATCCTGATTGGTCATTAAGTAATTCATTTGCCTTAAAAAAATTCAAAGAATTTTAGACACGCGGGATTTAAACTCACAACCCTTCAATTGCGAGCCAGACATGCTACCGATAAAGCCCCGCAGACACGATTGCACGGCTTGGGAAAGAGCAAGGGTTTATATTTAGCTATCAAATTCCACTCTTAAAAACAAAGCTTAAGTGTCCTCCTGTAATTTTTTGCCTGCTACAGAACCTGCTACAAAATGTCAAATGCCGCTTTCATCACTGCAATGATTTCTAGAAAAAATTTATTGTATGTGATACTTTTACACCAACAATAGGAAATAGAAAAGGAAGAAATTCCTAAAAACAATGAACTAACCATAGGATTAAGATGCAATTTTGTTTTGTTCCTTTGCTTTGGAGGATGGTATTCTGGGGTTTTTATATTGTGTGTAGCCTGTTAAGGGGGTACTCCGGCACTTGTTTGAGATGCCTCAACTAACTATATTTTCTGAATCTCTGGACCACTTTGAGTGTGCTATTAAGTATCGCAAAGCTCAGAATAGCTATTGTGAAATCGGCAAATGAAACTGATGCCAAAACAAACATTCAAATACGCACAGACTTTTTAGTGCCGTGACATCATTGGCAGGCAGGCTTGTCAGTCGAGCAAGCAGTCAAGAAATAGACTATGCCAAGCATTTCTTCCGTGCTGGTGTGCGGGTACTGGAGCGAGCTTCCAAAGCATTCATTTGACACCATGAAACTGCTCGGAATCAGTTGGGAACAAATTCTACAGTCCAAAGAGTGAACCCCTGCCTTTCCTTGGCATCACTTTTTCGTTGTTGCCAGTAGAGGCTTTCGGTTTAAAAAACACGATGACTACCGAAACTGTACATTCTCTCTCTTTACGAAAAAAAAAAAAAAAAAGTATATTGTGATCTAATATTTGGGATACGTTTGTTGCCTTGTTTAGCAAATTTTCAGGCAAATCGGGGACCGTGAAGAAATCGCCAGAGTACCCCTTTAAAGAAAGACATTGAGAATAAATATAAAGTGCAGGAGCCTTCGACTTAAAAATATATATATATATATATGTGTATTAGTCTTGTGTGAATAGTGGGTTTTGAGTTCAAAGCGAATACAGTCGAACCTCGATATAACGAACTTCAATGTAACGAAATCCTCGATTTAACGAAGTATTTTATTTTTCATAATTTCTTGCCCATAGACCCCATGTATTTTTAGTCTCTATATAACGAAGTCGATTTTGCTGCTATTTCAATATAACGAAGCGTCATTGCCATAGAAGGCAATAAATAAATCAACTCTAAAAATCAACTTCGCAAAAAAATTGTGGTTAAAAAAAAAAAAATTATGCGCAAACGCGAGCGCTTGATAGGTTACTTCACGGGGACAGGCCTTCCAACGTTCCTAGGCTGCCCGAGGATGCGGCGCCGGTAGCGCCGGCGAGGCATGCGGCAAAGCGGATTCCGCGGGGCTGGCCAGAAAATGCCGAGCAGAAAGTTAACTTGGCATAACAGCACCACCACTGACATTCACTGATCATCATAGTCCACTGTACCGCGGGTAGCGCGGGAGCCAACTTCAGCGGGGGAGCGACGTGATGGCGCGACCGCACGGGCAGTGCCATCTAGGAGAAGACCGAGAAGACCGATTATCGTCTTGCGAGCGTGATGTAAAGCAAAGGCGCAAGCACACTGTGGGCGGAAGGGGGCAAGTAAACTGTGCGGTCAAGAGTGCTGTGTAGGTTGGAAACATTGGCACCGCCTAAAATAAACAGCTTTATTTTTTAACCGGGCGGTTCACTCACGTGCTTGCTGCCATAAGGAAACGTAAAGTTCTTTCTTTGGATGAGAAAGCAAACGTTTTGGACGCCATCCTGAAGAAACTGCCGAGATCACGAGCACTCGGGAAGTGCTCGACGCAATGGACGTACTGAGGAGGTACACGGCGTCCCATGGGCAGCAAGATGCCGTGTGGGCGCTCGAACGCCGTATGACGCCGCTGCTACTGTCGGACAAGACGCAAGCAAAACTCGCGGACTACTTTGCCCCTAAATAAATGTCATTTTCGGTGAGTTTTCATACCCGTAAAATGTTTCGGAATTTTTTTTTCGCATCCTAAAGCCAAATTTTGATTTAGCGAAATTTCAATGTAACGAAGTAAATTGCGAATTTTACCGACTTCGTTACATCGAGGTTTAACTGTACTAGTTTTGGCCGAATATTTTCGCTTCGAATATCGAATAGTTTTTTCACGCCTTTCACTACCATAGCGTAATGCTTAGACAAAAACCCAGCTAAACTTGTGAAGGTTGTTCCACTTGTTCATTTATAAGCTAAGTTTATTTATATTTTTGAACTGTGTCTTCATAAAATCTGATGTCTTGGGACGGCAAGTAAACGACGGATTTGACATAAAATGAACCCTATAGACCGTTCCATTAGGGTCATAGCAGAGAGGGTAAAAGAGAAAAAAATGCACTCCCCCTCTCACCCCGTATCTCGTCCGCTCCGCCGAGTGGGCTGTAGCTAGCGTCCGGCTGGCGTGCAAACTCTGTTTAAAATCGCGTCATTTTGGAACTTTCAAGCGCAGATGCGCAGATTTTGGTATGCCAGTTGTCGTGTATTACTATGCTAAATAAAAAGACTCACAGCGTCCAATTGCGCTCTTACCTGCGTGCAAATAAAAAAAAAAAAAAAAGGAAAACTGTGTCAGATTGGTTGGTCTCTTTGGCGAAAAGTAAATCCGGTTGCTGTACCTTTTTTACTATACAAAGTTCATACTGGTGTAGGCCTTTAGCGACCATGAGTGGAAGTCTGAAATAATAAATAAAACGTGCTCTCCTGCCGCAATACACGCAGTAGTTGAGGGTAGTACTGCCGGCTGACTCAACTGCTATTTAAGTAACAGAAAAAAGATATGCTAGTTGATCATTTAGCAAAAAAGGACAACAGAGAGCTATAGGCTGATTTTGGAGTAGCCACAACTGCTCTAAGAACGCGAACGACTTTACAACAGCAGCCACGAGCGAGAGCTCAACGTTCGGTAGAGCCCGCCGATATAGCCCAAGAATGGAGAACGGCAACCTCCCGGTTTGTCATCTGCTAGCGGAGTTGGGCGCGTGCCCTCTCTCTCGTTTTACCCTGCCAAATCCGCTGAACTTCCCGGATGTGTGGAGAGGGCGCTGCGGTCGAGCAAAATGGTGCCGCCCAGAGAGGCTAAATGGAATGGTCTACAGAGATGGCCAATTATGTGCAATTGAGTGAATTTACAAATCTTGCTATATAAAATATTCCTTCTTTAATCTCGAGTTAAAAAAGAAATAATTGCGCATGTTAAACGCAGGTTGTAAGGGCATCTCTGCCTAACATAATACTAGTATACTCTTGCATAACAGTCAGTTTAATTTTGGAACTTTTACTACAATGTAGATATACAACTTCACAAAGTTTCCATTTATTCCCAAATACAGCCGGCACGCGTGCACCATCCCGCTTTGAATGTACGCTTTTCTTCCAAGCGCGCAATTTCGATATTCATACTATTACAAGTGTTTGACCCGGCAGGTTACCCCGTTGAGTACGCTTCTTACCGAGCACTGATGTAATGCAGAGAAGCAACACCCGCCGAGCTCGCTTTTGCGGGTATTGCTTCTCCGCTGTGCACCGGTGCTCGGAAAGAAGCGCATTCAACGGGGCTAACCCACCGCAATCGACACTTCGAAAAAACGCGAATAGTGCAGTTCTTCTCGAAGCGAATATCGAATAGTCTATTATTCGAAACTACTATTCGAAATTTTGAATATTCACACAGCCCTAATGTATATATATATATATTTGAGACTCCATACCGATTAGGAGAGGCAAACACAGTTTTTGATTCTTGTAACTGTGAGTCGCCCCAATTCCTTTTGCCTCACAGACTCATTGTGGGATATCAAAGCCAATTGATACCATTTATCGGAAATCAAGCACCTATCTAGCTTCAAATAAAAGAGATCCTCAAGAAGAAAAATTGTTTAAAGTTAAGGAGTAACATCATTCTTAGTACCTTGCAACATTCTAACACCCATTTTTTAGCTCTTTTTTTCCTTCTGTAAAAAATTAGTTTTGAGGAATGCTTCATCGAAATATAATAACCGGAACCGCAAAAAAAAAAACGACATGAAACTGATTTCATAACTATAACGGTAATCGTAACAGTAACCCTACCGTTATTATTTTTGCCTTGAGTCCCCGCATTAAGGAGTCCGGTACCGCAAAATATATTTCATTTCTCAGAGTGAATGAAGCCATATATTTTTCGACAAGTATTTCAAAGGGTTTTCAGAAATTTGAAAGTTGGCAGCGGACATTAAAGTTCAATATGACCAAAAAAGGAGTGATTGTAGCCTAGAACTATGTTCTTAAAATAACGAAGGCCATAAAAGAAAAAGGTTAAATTCTGTGTTATGTAAGCACTGAACCCATACAACACAGTTCCAAACCTTTTGTTTCATCCAAGATTGCACTCATACCAAAAATGTTTTCTTATCTACTTTTGTTTTTCTTTCTCCTAGCATGCATGATATTATCGAGGCATTACTGCAGCTACTTGCATGCTTGTGTGACAAAAATGTTATTTTTGCTTGTCTGTTTAAGTATGAATTCATTTTTAAGATGTGAGATAATATAATTGCTTTCAAAATTAATTGAGACCTCGAAGCTTCCTTCATGACCCCTCAGTATGAATTCATTATATCGAGGCATAGGTGGAGCTGCACATCTCATAAAAAAAAGATCTTACCTTCCGTTTTCTTTCCTGCTCCTTGCAGGTCCTGAATGCTTTAGACTTTTGTCACAACGAAAATGCACTTCCGTTTCTGAGGACTCTGGGTTGCATTGTATTGTATGTGAATAGGTGGTTTCCGCCTGAGCCAAAGCAGGTGCGTGATATACTGAGCATTCCTTTTCCTATTCTTTATTGTTGAACACTTGTATTTGAATACTTTTTTGTGTAAGACCTACTTTTCTATGGTTGCTGGCAATAGGCAAGTTTCCTCGTCTTTTTTGTAGTTATGGTTAATCCACACAGGTAGGTCGTGCAGCAGCGCATCACGTTCATGGGATTAGTGGTGCCAGCCTCTCTGTTAAGGCTTTGTCACTAAGCACTTGAATGCTGTACTTCATTTCACCTTATGATGGACTGCAGAGGACATTACGAACCATTGAAGCCAATCCAGTGCCTTGTATGTGTCCATGATCTTTGGAAGGGGCACGGCAACACGCGGGGAGCGTAGTAACGTGACATGTTCACAGCCCTGGATTAGCTGGGGTGGCTTGTCTCGTCCGTTCCGGTACATCACAAGATGAAACGGAGTACAAAAATGATTGAGTTGATACTATACAAAACTTTTAAGCGGTTGTACTTCATCCTTAATTCCTCTTTGTTTAGCCTACGTATCTTCCCAACCACATGTTACAGCATCTTTGTTGTGTCACGTTTTGCTACAAGAGTTTGTGGCTTTTCTTCCACCTTTAACTGCCCACCGGAGATCAAAATCTTTCTGCTTTACTCCCATCTTGAGGTTACATATGTGCCAGAGAAGGTGGGCGTCCCCTCAAGGCACCGCACGAAATGTTTGCAACGCGTCCAGTTTGGAGAGCTTCGCAACGTGCTACTTTCGTAAACGAGCCTCCTGCTGGCTCGAAGCTTTCTTAATAATAGTTCCATTGCTCGTCTTGTGTAAAATTTTCTTGTTTGTTTTTGGGATGTACAAAGCCAAGAGAAAAAAAGTCTGGTTCATGAGCAGTTTTTGCATCTTGCCGCGTTTTGTATTTTTGTCAGAGCTCTGTCAAAAGTCCATCTTCAGATAAGCGTCGGTCTTTTTTCAGTGATAGGCAGTTACTGCTGAATTTCTGTTATAGCACGTTCGAAACACAGCTTTTATTACCGGCTTTAAGCAAAGTGCACCGCCCTACGCTTATCGAGGAGTTGTCAAACTTGAATCTCGAGGAACTCCTTTCTGCCTAAAATTGCGGGTGTGGAGCCCCTCCCAGTCTCAGCGCCGATGCAGTAAAGCAGTGCAGACACCTATGGACATTGTAAACAATAATGCAGCTTAATGGAGAGCGCTTGGCCCTTACTCGTACACCAGTGGGTGGCTCAGATCTGCTAAGACTGCGCTTAACCTAGAAACACGCTTCACTTACCGTAAAATACCGGGCAAGCGCCCACTCAAACTTCAGAGATAATCACAAAAAATGGGGGATGGGCGCTTGTCCGGTTATCAATTTTACATATAAATGTACTGTGCATACTTTCTGAGATCTTACAGATTTGGGGATGGGCGCTTAATATGGAATGGGCGGATGCGCGGTATTCTACGGTAGAAGCAGGGACGGTCGAGGAAGTTTTGGTGCTCGTAGAACCCACGAGGGAATTTTTTTCAATCTCAGGAAACGTCTCTGCCTCCTTTGACATTGTTACATACGAGCAGTTCAGAGACCTAAGGACTTTTTTGACAATAGTACAAACACCAGGGTCTTTTTGGCTGATGACTGTAGATCGGTGCTTGGTTCAGACATGGCACAATATTACTTGAACTGGGAAAACACTTTATTTAGAGTAGAGACGATAGAGAGTTAGGGGGCTCGAAGAACTTTGGGGAGCGCTCTAGCGAACCCGCTTTGAGAACCACTGGGCTCCAGGGAACTCGGTTTGTGAACCCGTGCTTCTAAACACCCCTCAGAGCCAACCCTCACTGGAGGACACACCCAAGCGAGAGCCATCCTTCGCGGAATTCGTGGAGGATTTCCATCGCTGCAAGCAGGTCTCCGAGAATCTCGAGGACTCAGAGGAACCGGCCGACGCTGAAGAGGACGTCCCGGAAGACGCGGGACAGACGAAGAAGCCCGAGGCACCGGGACACGTCAGACTGCTCGTGCAGGTGGGGAACGGTGTGGCTCCGTCGACACAGGGACCTGGGACTGGGCGCTAGCCGTCGGATGGGGGCGAGCACTCTGAAACTCTGGGGAACGCGTTTCGAGGGTTCTGACGCACAACGTGTACTCTATATTCCGGTCTGTAGTCTGCAGGGGCAGATTCCACCCGAAAACAAATAGTTTTGTTGAGATAGTCAGCACCCAGGGCATACTCCGTACACAAAATAATCTCACATGCAGCGTGTATTTATTAGGCATGTGCAAATGGTGGATTTGGAGTCCAAAGCGAATTCCAAGCAAATAGTGGTTTTGGTCAAATATTTCCAAATCAGATATTGAATAGTCTCTCCCAGTTTTTCACTAGTGTACCATGCTTAAACATCTCAGCACGACTTTCTACTTTTTTCAAAAACACCGAAAGATAGCCCACTTCTAGTTGTTGCAGCGCCCTGGCCAATGCTTACCTCGGCGATAATGGTGCTACTTAGCTATGACGGGAGACAAGCAAACATTGCTGGATTGGAAGCACAGTAATCTTTGCTTCATTGCCCCTAGCTGCGATCCCAAGTTTCACAGGAGAGTAAATCTAAAGCTGTCATTTTTTCAACTTTTTGTGATTGTTTACCAAAAGTTAGCCCACTCCTCATTTTCACCCTAGTTGCTTTTGATTTTACATGGGGGGCTCAAAAGCTCAAACGTCATTAGGGGCCCTTTTAAGTCTACTATCCTTTTTTCTCTCATCTATGTTGTTTCTTTATTGGGGAGGAGGACAGACCGTGACGCCCCAAGCGGTTAACGTAACAACTACACGGATGGGGACAACAAATACAATGACGCAGCGTTCGGCCGACATAACCGAACGCGGCGTCAGCGTTCGTCTGGAGTTCGTGTTCTCCGGCGAAGGGGAGGAGGGGCTCTTTTGTTTCCACTCGGCCTGCATGAACAATGCAGCATGCACGATCCCAGCTCAGCACAAAAGCCGAAGTGGGTCAAGCTCGCATTCTCTGAGGATAGATCCGGCACTTAACGTCGCTTCGTCAATTGTTAGTATTTTTTTTATTAAACTGCGCCCCGCGCTCTATTGTAGAAGATGACATGGCCATGCCCATAAGGCCTGTCGGCATGTGCACAGGCCTTGTGTTGAGTAAACACCAAGCGTGGGGAAAACAAACGGGTCAGAGCGCCCCCTATAGTTCGATCTCCTGCCCAATACTGTACATTCCTGAAGTTTTTTTTTTTTTTTTTTTCATGTTTATTTTTGCGCCACCAGTCATGTCCTTCTCGCTTTCTTGTTCATTAACGTCAGTTGCTGGTCAGTGCTTGTTCTCATTCATTTGAATGAGAAAGCATTAACTATCTCATGGAGCTAGCTGACGTTATCAGTTTGAAGCGCGAAAACGGCACCTAGTTTCCTTTGGTTCCATTGGCTGGCGCGTGTCGACGGGGCTCCCATTGGCCGCTGCGCTTTTCAGTTTCCACGACCGCTCACCCTATGGCGCTGCGTGTCCATCAGCGCGCCGTTAACACAGAGCGTCCAAGTTCACCGTGCCCAGGGGAGCACACGCGCTGACCGGCAACGAGAAGTATGCAGCAGACGAAAAAGGGAGCGGACGAGCGGCTTGCATGCTTTCGCATTCACAACTTATAAGGAATGCTTAGGTGTACCTCAATCTTTTTTTCTACTCTTTTTCGTCAGGATACTTGTGTCCTTGATATATCTTTATCCATTACTTTCTCAATAACCTAGGTCCTAAGAAGATGCATCCATCTCCAATCCAGCTCCAACATATGGGTCCAGACCGCCGTTCTGAGCATTATATGCCATGCCGTTGTTCCAGTCTCCGGCTGCGAAGGTATAATGGTTGCTTGTCATACAGTGAACTTGCACGTCATTAGCTTGCTTTTAGCAGTCCTCCATGCCGCCTCGGTGGCTCAGAGACAAAGCGCCGGCAGTCTTTCGATACGCTACCAGTCACGAAATTTCTACATAACGCTATGGGAGAGCGCGATGCTGGTGTCGACGAGGAAGCTAAGAGCCGCCAATCTAGCCAGCGCAGGTAGTAGTCCGGCAACCAGAAAGTGGTATTGGAAATTCGAACCCACTCTAAACGAGCCACCAATAGAACATTGTGACGCGTCGTTGCACCGACGGCATTTCTCGTTAAAGTTAGCGTCTTCAGCTCTGTACTCTCGGTCAACTCTTCAAACTTCCTTCTCTACAACATTCTCCAAAATGATATCATTCTTCATTCCTCTTCTCAAAATAATATCATTCTTCATTCCTGAAAATGAATCTTCCATACCGCCATCGCCATCATACTTCGGTGCCGCAAGTAGCGCCATCAAGTAGAGACAATGTGAGCTCGTACGCTCCATCGTCTGGCTTCTTTTTGCTCGCAAAAAACATTGTTTTGTTTGGAAACAAACATAATAAGCTTATTTCCAAGTTCTGCTATTAGAGATCAATAAAGAACGACCGGTGCTTACATACAGCGATCGATTACAGACGTAAAAAAGATCTTGGTGTACGACAAATTGTTTTTTTGAATGCTACTTGTATTTGCGAATTTGGGGGTGGCTCACCGAAAGTGAGGTGGCCAAACAAAAATGCCCGCTCTGGGGCATTGGCGCTCGTAGCGGCATTTATTGACCTTGTACCAAACTTTAGCTGAAGTTTCGTGACCAGTAGCATATCGAAGGACTCTGGTGCCGGCCTGCGGATCTCCAGGTGGCGGGTTCGAATCCCGGCCGAGGGGCCCGCAATCTGAAAGAGGCTTGTTGCCGGCACCTCGGTCCTCAGCAACCCCAACCAAGATCCCCAGGTGGCCGAAAGATCCCCGAGTGGTCGAAATTAATCCTCGGTTTTTATCTGAGGCGTGCCAGATGCCCTTCACTGGTGTGGCACACAAAACCCCCAAATTTTACTTTTAACAGTCATCCAAGATGTAAAGTGCTACTTTTGCATGGGAATAACTTTCAGGTTGTGAAAAGGTACACCCATTATAAGCGGGTCAAACGTAGTAACTACAATTCAGTCGTTACAAGAATTAAGTCAGTAGAAGATCTACTTACCTGCACAATTGCAGTATTCCTCTCATTACAGTCAGATTACAGTGATAACAACATTCCGAGCTGATGACAGTAGCAGGAGTGCAGGCAGGGCCGGCCCTAAGGGTGGGCGACTTGATCGGCCGCCCAAAACGCCATCGTAAGGGGGGTGCCTCTGTGGCCCCTTTTGAATTTTTTGTTTTTAGCTTTTTGATTTATTTGAGCATGGCGCCCGACACTACGTTACGTGCTCCATCTCTGTTCGTTTTTGGAATGCTGTTTTCATCTGACAAAATGCGCATGTTGGGCCACTACTCACATGTTTACTAACAATGTAATGTTGTACCTAGTAGATAGGGGTGTATAAAAAAGGGGGCATGGCTGGAGTTTGCTTAGGGGGTTTGATGGTGTAGGACCGGCCCTGAGTGCAGCATATTGTCTCTGTTTCTTCAAACATCTAAGAATTAGGGAACTTGTTTACCTCCCTTCCCAGGTTTTACTGTTCTCGCAAAGAATTTCCACTAAATAGTACAACCAAATTGCACCTTTGCGATTGAATAAACGGAGCCTTATGTTCCAGGAAGCTAACATTGCAGTGTTTTCATGAGGGTAATTGGTGTTTCAGATGAGGTACTGCCCATCGTTCATCTGCTCTGGAAGCCCCTTGTGAATCGGTTTCAGGGTGACAACTGCACCCTGTCTATTAAGGTATGGCAACCCCCCCCTCTTTGTGCCAGGATGTTTGCATGTGGCTTATTTTTAACTCTTTCTATACCATGGAGAAGAGGAGTACAGAACATTTTTTTTTATTTTAAGAACTACTCAGCATATGAATAATTACAATGCATCAAAATATTGAGAAAGAAAAAAAAAGTTTACACAAATGTCTGGAAAAAGTTCCTTAAATTTAAATGCTGAACTTGGAGATTGTACAAAAATGAGAACAAAATGTTTAGACATTTGTAGCTACATTAAATCATACTACGATCCTTAAAAATTTTAAATATACAAGGTATGCCCCATACACACTACTGTAAGTTAGAGAGCTCTAGCTGATAGGGTCTTATTTTGGTCCGTCAGCAATTGTTCTTCCGTGACATGCGAAGGTACATGTCGCACAGCACACTTTTTTTTTTTTTTTTTTTTCACAAAAAAATTGTTTGTTACAAAACTGTTTTAGCTTTTTTTCTGCTGGTGTTTTCATGGCTTGCGGCACACATAAGATGCGTTCCTCTGGTCACGACAGCCTAGAAAGCTAGAACGACATTCTCCAACGAGCACCTGTCGCTATTCTGCGCCTCGGAAATAAAACGTCGCTGTAGGAGCTCAGATCAAACGATACAACATCGTCATGTCCTCACTGCTGTGGTCATCCAAAAAAAAAGCAGTGAAATCGTGCGACTGATGTTGCTTTTGTAGCGGTCCCCAATGTCAGCAGGACGCCACGTTTGAGAGGTGCCACTGTTGCACAGAGGTTTATTTCCGATAGCTCATCAGCTTGGAGGAAAGCTTGAGAAGGAGCCGAAACCCAAGCTATAATCGTTCAGCTACCTACGAGATGGCGCATCGTGTTCCTGTGCGCCGAATTGGAATTGTGGCGGCACGTGGAATACATTGATTGCGTGTGATCGACGGCCAATGGACGGGGTGTGGAGGGAGTTCCTTATTGAGCGGCGCTTCCAGGCGTTTGAAACACTGACGTCTCTCGTGGATGCCTCTGGAGACTTCATCAGACAGCGAACCCTGAAGGAAGTGTGGCCGAAGCTGGCAGCGTTCTTGGTCAGTCAGCACTCTGTCAGGTTTGTAGCTTCCACATTCACCCCAGTTTCACAGTGGTAGAACCAAAACTTCGAGTATGGGGTCGCCGAGTGCCACACTTAAGCTAAGCCCTGGCAAACCTGGATTCCACTTTTATTTGGGGCTTGCAGTCTGCGGGTGATCTCAGACGACCCGACGTGACACGCGGCAAAAAATTGCTTCACTCGTAGCCTAATGGATGCGGCTTGTGTACGAAGAAATTTAGATGAAACTTACAAAGTACAGTGGGCTACGGTTAAGATGAAAGTTAAGAGGCATGGAAAATTTGTTCAGCTTATTGGATGTTTGGCTGTAAAGACACTGGTACGCTGCAGAAATGCTAATGAACTGAGACACATTAAAGGCCGACATACATTTCGCGCTTTCCACTCTTGCCCGCCCCCTCCTTTCCTAGAACCTCCCCACTTTTTACCTTGCCCCAACTTGGCTCCCCTTGCTGCTTAGGAGAGGGGAGCAATAAGAGGAATATCTTCCCCGCAAAAAACCAAGGTTGTATGTCGGCGTTAAAGCAAACATCGTCTTACGTTGTATCTATGGGAAACCAACCAAAAGTTTCCAATTTGTTCGGCTCTTTAGAAGTCTGGTCAGGCGAGTTCGGCTTAACGGGAGTCTACTGTATGTTTTAGATGGGAATCGAAGCGGGAGAGAGATTCAGAAACTGGCAGGTTTACTACACTTTGCGCCAACTCTTTTGTACTATATTGTCGAGGCTAGCATGGCTTCCCCACTGCTGCAGCCCCGTATCGCTGCAAGAGCACTTGGCTTGAGTCTTGTTTGCATGCACTTGCACAACTGGCTTTGACAGAGTTGGAGCACTGCGGAGGCTACGCCAGCCTTGGAAATGTAGCACAAGATAGTCCACGCCAAGTATAGGTACACCCGCCGTGTGAGCATTTGCACTGCCAAAACAGGTTCCACAGCTTTGAGCTTGCAACTGCAATGTTAGACAGAGTTTAAGGCAACTCAGACGCTCTGTTCTCAAAGCAAAAGCGACTCAAATCACGGCGTTTTGATTTAGAAGCAGGTGGGAACCGTGTGCGACAGCAAATCTCCTTTCAGGTCCTCGTGATTAAAGGGGTCATGAAACGCTTTTCCAACTTTTTCCTGTTTTAGCTTTCCTCCTCAACTCATAAATCGCGCATTCCACCAAACAGTTCAAGAAGACGAAAAGGGGGAGTCCCCTCTTGCTCGCACTCTCGTTTGTGTAATCCGGACACATCCATTCTCCCCCTAGAAGATTAGCCCGTCGCTCAAAATTCAGAAAAAAGTTGCTTTCCCCACCCCGTTCATTCCGAAGCTGACAGTGCTGTTGAAGCTACGTGCTCGTTGGGCCAGCCACACTTGCCACGTGAGCGTGGCAAATGTGGCTGCAGAGAATGAAGTCAGGTGATGAAAGGGAGGCGGCTGATTGGTCCGGCAAGCACGTAGCTTCCACCGCAATGTTAGCTTAGGGATGAAGGGAATAAGTGAGGTCCGGTTGCGTGTGACGTCAGTTTGGACCCGACGACGCGCTTTTGGGACCGCGGATGTATCACAGTGAAAAGGCAGAGAGGTTGTGAAGGGGAGGAGGTACGAAATAGTCCGCTCTGTTTTCAAATTGTCGCACTGAAAGTCAGGCTTTTGACTTTCTACTTTTTTCCTTTTGGTTCACTGAACGATGTGCTATTAGTAAAATCCCAATCTAAAATGATTTATCCCAACCCAAAAATCGTTTCATGGGCCCTTTAAGGCTGTGGTCCCATGGCAGTCATCTTAAATGGCTTCAAAACAGTTTCTTATTTATCAAAATATATTTTTAAAAATTTACGAAAGAGAAAATATGCTGGCAAGCCAGTGAATTAGCTCCATAATTGAAAACCCGAGACTGGGAATAGATAAAAAGAAGACAAGGACATGCACCATCTCAAAACACAGCTACTGATTTTATGTTGCATCATCACAAATATACATTCCCACCCCTCCAAAGGTTACCACCCTCCTTGCGACAAGATAACAACGAACACAAGAAACAACATCCACTGCCACGGGATGATCCGAATCCACAAGCATGGCTAACAAAGGAGTGGTCAATGTAGCAAGGGTTCATTCCTTTGTCGGCCACGCTTGTGGGTTGGGTATGGGACGTAAAACTATCAGACTCTTAACTGTAATATTGGAGGAGAAAATGAACAAACCCATGGAAATATTCTTTTAATTGTCTAATTAAATAATCGAGCTATGACAAACATATTTTACCTTTAAATGCCCAGAAAGAAAAACAACATTTGCTAGCAGGGGCACTTTTAAATATTTGTTTTTACATTTATTTGACTAAATTAAAAACCATTTCATAGCCGTTCAGTTTGGCTGCCGTGGGACCAGAGCCTAACTTGCTCTTTTTTTATCTGTGAAAAAAACCTTTACTTTTCTGCACATAAAATCATCTGGCTTTATAAAAAGAAATGGGGTGTTCGGAAACCAGTAGCCTTAAAGTTGGTTCACGAGTGCTTATGATGCGATGCTACCGTGGGTTGCTTGGCTACCGATGTCCACGCAACACGTTGTAATGGAACCCAAATAGTACTCAGAAGCACGAATGTCTGAACCTGCCGTTACTTTCCAGACCGTTTGATGTTTACTTTAACAAATGTTGGCAACACCCCATTTTATAAATTGGGGCATCATTATATGGGAGATACTAGCACAACTGCATAGATACAAAAGGTATGATACATCACTGGCACTTGTTGGCCAATGAAATGTCCTGCCAAGCCTAGCTTCCATTTTTCCAGTACTCCCATTAAAAACAAAACAGGTGACTTAACAGTTGTTGCCTCCAACTGTTAGTGATGCAACTCTTCCATTTCCTCACCAATGAACAGAAACTTATTGTTTACATCTTTACACCATACTCTCTTGCAGTCGGAACAAAGGAAAAGCGTACGAGATCACAGCAGCATTCAAATACCAGCTGGTACTATTACGTGGCCTGGGCCCTCTTTCACGCAAGGTTTGAAGGAAGATTTTTCATAAATTGTAGTTTTACAACTGTCATAACTTTGAAGGTGCTGCCAAGAGCATAAGAAAGCATCTCCAACCATATGGGCGCCACATTTTGTCAAACTTTTACAGCTCAAGATCGATGAAAAGGACATTGCACTGCTCGCATCTGTCGTCGTGCCTTACATGGACCTGTCCCAACCAAAGGAATTGCAGTCGGTGGGTAACACAAAATTCTTCGTCCGCGCATTTTTTTTTTTTGGGGGGGGGGGGGCGGGGGCACGGATGCGAAATGGACGGTGTCCAATTGTTAGATATTCCATTCCTTTCAGGCTGCTGTTGGCTGCACAGAAGAGCTTGCCAGATGCAGTCCTGACAGCGTCTGGTTTTTCCTCATGAAGACATACTGCAGCTGCCAGCATTCCTGGTCACCGTCGTCACTGCTCCGCCCAGTTCCTTTCTCCCAAGTCCTAAATCTATCAAATAAGAATGTTTCGCATGTTTTGAACTACTTGACAAGTTCATAGTAGTGTTATTTCTACATCAGTGTGTAAATAAAAGGGTGCATTGGTGTTGTACCCAATGTGGGTCTGGTGCTGCATCACTTTATTGAGACCCAAACCAGGAGCAATACCGCAAACGGTCGCAACGCTGGGTGGGGGCGTACAAGAACCGGACAATGCACTGGTGTGTCTCTTATATCGCGCTGTGCTGTCATGTGCCCCAAGGAGCGGCGCTGGGCCACTATCTTATCACTAGAGCCCTGCATGCATAACAGTTTGATCATCCACATCCGCAGACTTTGTATCCGCATCCGCAATGTTCGTAAATAGTTGTATCCGATCTGCATCAGCTGAATTTCTATCCGCATCCGACCCTCAATCTGCGCATTCATTTTACATCATAAAATCAAGCATGAATAAAAATTTTAAAAAAGCATCTGGGTGGTATTTGACAAGCCATCTGTTTACCTTTGTACATAGAGCTCTTCATGTCAGAATATGTGAAAGTAATTTTATCATACTTATATAATAAGCGATCATCCTTTCAGAGAAGGATGGCGTCTGCAATTGGCATCTCTGTCTATGAGCACGCCACCCATCGTCGTCATGATACACTAGCGTGCCGCCACACACGGAGCAAGCGGCGAGACCCTGACATCTTCCTTTCTAGCCACCATGGCAAGGTTGTTGCGTAGAAAAAGTCTCTCTCCGTTGGTGCACTTGATGCTGGGATGGCATGCACGACCTTTGCTACAAAAATGAGGTGCGGAGACTCTAGTCTGCCGCAAGTTCTAAAACTCCAGAGGATCTTCAATCTACTTGTAGGCAAAGAAGCCATTTGCAGGCTTCTTCTACTTTATTGTGAGTTGTATGTTTAGGGTTAGCTTTGACCAAAGAATGCCTTCTGCTTATTCCTTGCCAAACAAGAACAAGGTTTTTTTAGATGACTTATGCTCCTGCAGACCTGCCAACCCTACAATGCTAAAAATACTGCAGAGGATGCCAAAAAACACTACAATTGTGTAAAGAAATACGAAGACTGTTTTATTCTTCAAAAACTTAGTTTAGGTAAGAAAAATGCCTCAACTAGGGCACTAACTCATCATACATTGCAAGAAATGTCTTATTCTTTAGAAGTAGAAGGTTGGGCCAACACTGAGGAAGTTGCGGCTTTTGCTTTTCTTAGGAAGTCCTTGTCGAACACTTGTTCATGGCACTTCCCAGACTGGCTGCATCTCGCAACTAACTGTTCAAGAGTCTTTTTTGACATGGAGCAGCGGAACTGCGTGTGTGCCTTTTTCACTTTGCTGAAAACTCTTTTGCACTCCGCGTTGCTATGCGGGATTGTCAAGATTCCGAACATCACTTTCGAAAGCTTAGCATAGTTAAAAGTGCCATCCATGTCTTGAAGATCAGAGACTGCACCCCACTGTTCATCAATCCACTTCTGCATAGTTATTTGTGCAGGAAGATCTTCCACCTGTAGGCGGCTGAACTGAGCCTGACCCTCATCCAGGGCAGACTCCATACTTTGCTCTTCTGCAACTGTCAAGAGAACTGGGAAGCGGTCGATGAAGTACTTGACATCAGCAAACCTGGCTTGTTCAATGGCGGAAAGTCTGGCCCGCTCTGCACTTTTCAAAATCTCGGACATCAGAGGAAATTTCAGGATGACGTAATCGCTTGCCGTTACAAAGAATCTTCTGATCTGTGCAAAAACCTTGCCTGGCTTCCTTCTTCAAGTTTTGCAAGCTCCGTGCTGTCTGGCTGCCCAGTACCATGTCTTCATCATCTCTTTGGTTGTCAAGAGACTTGTAGTCAATGTCTGTCAGCACATCAGTCCTTTTGATCACTGATGGCTTGACAAAGCACATCATCAGGTCTCGAAGCAGGTTGTGAAGGATCTCCCGGAGCAGATGTGTTTGGGGGGCCCTAGACTGCAGAAACACATTCGTCGTTTCAAACTCTGGAATGACCGACAGCAACAAGTCACAATACACCCTGTTGACATCCGACGAAAGGAACATGAACAGTCTTTCTTCTCTGTTCAAGACCTTGCCATCTTGACGCTTTTGGATTCTCGGAGAAGGAACTGTATTCGTCTCAGGAACACAAGTGTTCATTCTTGGTCTCTTGCTTTGATGAGCACTCTCTCCTTTCTTTGTAGCTTTCTTAAAGCCTGCCTCGAGTTCTCTTATGGTGAATTCGGGCGGTCGCCTCTCTCCTCTGACCTCGATTCAGCAGAGTGCCCCCTCCTCGCCGCCAGAGCTACTCGGGATCCTTTTCAGTCGATCGCAACTGCTGGGTTCAGAGCGCCCCGACATTCTCAGACCAGTCGAGAGTGGTGTCCCATTTCTTGGTATTATCTGAATTTCTAAAATTAAACGACGGTTGAATAGAGAGGGCTAGTCCCTTTGGTATCACATTCTGGTCAATGCAGTCCCTGTAGAAAGAAGAATGTGAAACATACCTTAATTTCTTGGCTACAAGTTTTCGCACACAAAGAAACAAAGGGGTAAAAATCTGGCCACCATATTGTCACCGAGCAAACTTGTGCGACTTGTTCTGCCGAATTTGGCAAGATCGACGGGGGATATCGTGTTGAGGTGGTGGATTCCGTGAGGTATTCGGCTTGGGAGGCACAGGTGGAAGGTCAGTGGGCGTTCTGTTGGACTGAAACAGTGTGTCCGGTGTGACGTCTGGCTTCGGAGGCACAGGTGGGTGTTCCGAAGACACCGTGGTAAGTTGGGACGGAGAAATAGGTGAAGCGGTTGACTTCGGCGGCACAGGTGGGCGATCGGTGGACGTTGCCCTGCGTTAGAGTGGTAGTCCTGCTGATACATATGGCTTGGGAGGCACAGGAGGCCGGTCAGTGGATCCAGGACAAGTCAGCCTCAGCCACGCCTGATCATCAACAACTGGCTGGACAGTGTATGCCCCAAGGAGGGATGGTGACGAAGCATTCATCGCGGACATCCGGTAACGCGCCAAGTTTTCCGCTGTCGTCGAACACCGCGCGATGGTGTCCGAATCGGATCCTCCATTATGGAGAGCCGCCACGACCGGAGAAGGAGGAGCTCGACTCGTCCCCGTGGTTGGCCGAGGGGCCAGGGTCCCGGCCGAAGCCGGCAAGCAGCCCGCGACTGAGGCAAACGTCTTCACAAACGTCTGAGCCATAACATGGCGCTCCTGTGGGGTAGCCCCAAGTAGCTGGGGAAACTCTCCGGTCGCCAGAACTCTGAGGCGGTAGTGGATAACATGCCTCAGAGTCTCCGACATCCGCTTGACTCCGAATCGGCTGGGGTGCAGTCCATCACTCGCAAGCAACTCCTCGGGCCACCTCTCCATCTCACGGTGGGCGACAAACCTCACATCTTTGTTGACAATTGACAAGTACCACAAATGGTGATTCAGCGCACGGACATGGACGGTAATTTCGCCCAGTACTTGAGGATCGAGGTACCTTTGGTAAAGGTCTGGAAGTCATAAGGAATGCTCAAGAAGACAGCCACAGCACCAGGTCTCGAAGAACGCAGATGGCCAAGAAGCACATACTTGCTCGATGCATGCCTGAATGCCGACTCCCGCAACACTTTGCAATCTGATGACGAAGATAAAGATTTTTATGGAAGGCGGCACATTGTCCAGAATTTGGAGGTAGTTTTCAATCCGCATCAGATTTCTACGTAAATATTAAACAGCATATCGACTGCAGAACCCCTGACGCGATATGTATTATTAACTGCATGCTGTATAACAAGCAAAACGTAGGAGAAACTAAAAATTCTATGAAAGAGCGATTTCATGGCCGTAAGTCTGACATTGTAAATAAGGGACAAACACCAATCGCTAAACACTTTAACTCCGACGACCACGACATTCATACGCACCTAAAAATTATCATCGTGGAAAGCAGTTTTAAAAATGATATTACGCACAAAAGTAAAGTCCTTTTATATATCTAAATTTAAAACCCTAACCCAGCTTGGTATGAACATTTCAAAAGGAAACCTATATAGGCTGTTGTAGGTTTTTAGTTTTAGTATACTACAGGCAAACTGCCTTCCACATCACAGGGGAGAGTGGGGAAGAGAGAAAGCCCCTTTGAGGGGAGAGCTAAAAACATTGGGATGTGGGGACATCGCCCGCTAACCTCCCTTTTTTTTTTCGGGGAGGGGGGAGTTTGAGCTGGGAGGCATTCTAAGGAGTGGTTCTCGGTATTCTGTTGAGCAGTGCCACCCACGTGTGACATTTCTGGTGTCCGTTTACACACACTTCGTGCTCATTTATGACCTTTGTTTCCTTGGGCGTTATACTGGCTTGGGCTCACTCGACCCCTGTATGTTATTTTATTTTTCTGGATCTGGAGCTCTAACTCTAACGTGATGGAGGCCGTTGCCTGTGATGTATTTTCTTGGTGTCGCTAACGAGTGCCGCAACCGCAACCAAAAAAAATAGTACTATACTACTTTTTTTTTTGTATGTGTTTTGTTGGAATGCAGTGTTTCCATGCTTAAGTGTTTTTACTTGTACTGTTATATACAATCTTTTTCTTTCTCCAATGTTCCTTCTCTCCTCTGGTCTCTCAAAAAACGCTTTGCAACTGTATATTTTCTGCACACTTGAAGAAGGGAAGTCTCTTCCCGAAACTTTTGTGTAATAAAGCCTCTACTGCTGTTCAAACACAAGTTTGTGTAGGCGTGGGTTTCATGCTTGAAAAAATAATTCTTGATGAAAATAGAAAAGTTCAGAATGTAGCCATCAGCGCAATTGTCACCTGCGTCACCACCTGTCAAGTGCCAGACTTTTCTGTGCCGTACATATTAATTCGGCGAGGTCGCGTGTATCCTTGATGTTCGGTAGCTTTTGCTTAGCATTTGAGAAAATTCTGTAGTAACACCTCAAGAAGGTAGGGAAAGGAAGGCTGGGGAGGGAGGAGCGGACAGAATGCTGGAGAAGAGAGGGGGAACCTCGTCTCTCCAGCTTTCTGTCTGCCCTCCCTCCTACCCAACATACCGTTCCCTCGCCCTACATTCTTGAGCTGCAACGGACTATAATATACTCGTTAAGAGCAACCACCTTGGGTGCTATTTTGGCGACAGGAATACCTTCTCAAACCTGCAAGTTATATAACCAGAATTTGACTTGCTAAGTTGCTACATATTGGACACAGCTGCACAGACCATATCCGTGTAGCTGCATATCCTATGCGCAGATGGGTATAGAGATATAAGTACCCTTGACTCGCAAATCATTTTTTTTATAGGTAGGCATATGTTTGTACCCTAAATACACACCTAGGTACAAATGCAACTTGCTGGAGCACTAATGTTCAGTCTCTTATCAGCCGAGTCAATGACGGTAGCCGAAATGTCACAATGCAGTGCCTTCTCACTCTGTTGATGTGAAATTTTAAGTACCGAGGTCCTTTCACATTTGACAATTTGAAGTCGGAGAAATGGTAAACTGCCATTCCCAGTTTTCTGAAGCACAGGAAAGGATCCCATAGTACAGAAGTCGGCAACTTTTCGCTTCAAAGTGGAGACGGAATGAGCCGGAAGAAACGGAGAGCAGGGCGGGGGAATCGGTTTATAGAAATGATATAAAGGAACTGTCACATACCCAATGTGGGATGTTCTCTTGAATCGGGAACAGTTAACATAAGATCACTCGAGCCCAGCATTAAAATTTTTGGGTGTTCAATATTGCTTGCCAAGATCGAGTCGCAAAACATTTTGGAGGTGCTAGTCTTTCATTCACAAGATTCACGTTCGACTTCACGGAGTTCATCTTATGAAATTGCATTCACAGATACATATGTGCCATAGCAAACACTTCGACCAGGGCTGCTACGGGACTGCATAGATTTTAAAACAATTCTGAAAAGAAGTTGTTTGCTGCAAATGCATCCAACATAGTCTTTTTGGGGATCAGTGAACTTGATCCGGCAACTCTCCCAGTTTGGTTGCATGCAGGGAAGCTTGTCCCGTGTGTGTGCGTTTTTTTTTTTTTTTTTTGAGGGGGGGGGGGCAATTTATAATGGTGTACCTTGCGGGCTGCATCCAACCCACAGGCATAGGTGGCCGACCGCTCCCCTAGGACAATAATCTGTATGTCATACCAGTCGATTCCTAATGAGTGAGTGGTTGCTGCCATGACACAGTGGGGGCTGCACTTTTTGCAACTTTCTTTTAGAAACCATCGCACATCTCGCAGTGAAAAAAGCATCAGAAATGCAGTCGCGAAGCTCCAAGAACAACACCAATACCAAGGGTGCTGTGAAAAGCAAAATTTTTTGCTTTTCACACACACACAAGCCTGCATTTGAGATTATTTCAGATTTTTATCACTCTGGGCTAGGATTCCGGACTGGGGCCTTAAGCTGGACGCTTGGTGAAAACGACTGAGAAATCTAGCGGCCTCGAATTTCTCACCGACTTTTCCACCAAGTGTCCAGATTAGGGCCCCTGGTCATACAGTCGGGAACAAGGCGAGTGCAGCAGGGAGGAGCTCGAGCAGTCGTCCTGCCTGCCTGCGAAGCATTGACTTCAACAATGCTTTGGAGTGCCGTGCACGGCAGAGGGCATTTGAAAGACGTTCTACAGTCGTGATAATTTTACTCGCTTGAAAAAGCCCATTAGTGTCCACCCGTGTTTAAAAATAAGCTTGTACCCACTCCCAAGTGCAAATAATTATCTTTGGGACTGACCAGCCTCGACGGATTCATCTATGCAGACAATTTCTAATTAGGAAGTTTAAACCATCACTCTGTACTGCACAAGCTATAGACCACTTTAAAACAGCTCTTTGTAGGTCCCTGTGGTCCAAAATTAACCTTAAACATTTTTTTCAAATGCCTACATGGCTGGCTAGAAGGGGAGAATCATTATTCCACTAATCTGTCGAGCCCAATTCAGCGCATTTACATGCCAAATTAACAGAGGTCACCTGACACGCCCCAGAATCTACCACTTGGGAATATCGACGTCCCACCAAAATCGCTTACATGGCACCTTGGCCGCCATTCAAACCCAACACCTGGGAATCTGTAGGCCAGCGATCTTCCTCCGATTCAACCATCTCCTTCTGTTCATTAGTGTGCAGGCACTACTAGAAGAGATGGAAACTGCAGCTACATGGTCAGACCCTTAAGTATGGCATCAAGAATCTGAAAGGCATGCAAAACGGCGCTCCAAGCTCAGACGGGACACAATACTATGAAGTGCAACTCAAAAAATGAAATAGTGAAATACAAATTTATTACGCCAAGAGACTTGCAGAGTAGCCTGATGCCAATGTTCAAACAGCCTTAGAGAGAACTACCCAAATTCAAACAAAATGAAAACCAGGGAGTCAACGCGAGACCACAACCACCGGTGAAGGAAGCAGCAAGAGAACAAAAGAGGAGTATACATTTATAAAAATTTAATTCCAAGATAAAACATCCAACCTGACATTTCTCCAACAAAAGTGGAAATCATGACACAGTAGCTTGTTGCACCAAAAGTTGAGGATAAAAAAAAAAATCTCTGCTGAAGTTATAGCACTTTATTATATTTTTGTTATTAAAGCCTCTGTCAGTCTCCTGTTCAATTTGTTGTCCTAAGAGGGCACAGAAAAAGCCCTCAAGCAGTCGCCCCATCCTTCCCCTCAAAAATACACGTCTCCCTTAAATCCCCCCAAAAAAGTTTACACAAAAAGTAAAAAAAAAAAAGTGCAGCCTCACACCTTGTACCAGACGAAATACAACGAAAATTTTCACAAATCTGGGGTGGTTACAGGCAATACATTTTTTTTTTTCTTGGCCAGGACATAGAATTACAGTACTTTTTTTAATATAAAAAAACAAAAACTCTGTAAAAAAACAAAAAAAAAAAACAGAAACGGAACAAGCACACCAGTGACCATGATTTTCCAGCTGGGGCGTGCATGGTCAGACGTCCTGTGTTTTTTGTCTTCCCGCCTTGCTCCCCCCCATCGCAGGTGTTGGTTTCCTCTTAGAGCAGCGTGTTGTCAGGGGGGAGGTGACAGTCAACCACTCCTCCCTTTCTTGTCTGTCCCTCCTAGTTGGCGTTCTTGTGAGTGATGATGCACTCCGTGCCCACAGCACTCATCACCGTCACCTGGTGCAAGGACGGGACAAAAAACCAGACTCGTCAGTCGGACAGACTGGCGCGCACGGCCCAATAACCGCTTCCAAGGTCCTAATGACCCCGCTGGTGCTACACACACTGCGTGTGCCACGACCGATCCCACACTCTAGCACTATCCTGGTGCACGCACAACGCTACAAAAACGAGCTACAAGTCGGCAGCGCAAACGCTGGAAAGGAGGCCACCGCTCCAGCATTCGCTCTGCTGACAGGAAAGAGGTGGGAGCTTTCCAAACTTTTAGAAAGGTGCTCAAGTGCATTTTGTAGAAGCTATATTGTTTGTGGGGCTTTAGTCCATAAAAATGACCAAATTTAGAAACTCGCAGCAATGTGGAGCGCAAGTTTGTCTGCCTTCTTTTGCAGGAGTTGACGCAGAGCTCCGATTCGCTCCGATTGAAGGATAGCGGGTAGACCTCGAAGCAGGCTGCCTTGAGGCCTACCCACTACCCTTCAATCGGAGCCAATCGGTGCTCTGTGTTCTGACGTTGCCACAACCCCTGCAGAAGAAGCAGACAAACTTACACTCCGCATAGAAATGCACGGGCACTAATTTCGACCAAAGATTTGACCAACGAAAATATTTAATGGCGTGGAGATTTCATATGTCACTATCTTGGGCAAGTTGTGCACGATATCTCGAGAAAACATCAAAGCTTTGGGTGTAGGAGACCTCGTACAGCAACTATTGTTTGAAAATGCCGTCTTACGACGCCTCCTGGTGTCTGCTCCAAGGCGCAGAGGAAGAAAGGCGCGTCACCATCTTCAATTGTACTTGCAATAGAGAAATCAGGAACCCACAAATGCAATTTCGTTGTTTTTTGTTATCTTTAGAGCTTGTAGACAGACCTATCACCATAAATAGACGACCCCAGAATTCACTGTAGTGAATTCAACCCATCGCAGTCTACAATCCCAAGGACGGCAGTCCATGGCTGTCCGTCTACAGTCCCAAGGATGGCTGCCTACAAGGTGACAACTTTCCAGTTACCGCATACTACAACTTGCTTGTGCCATCTCTTTGCTCAAAGGCTGTCACACACTCCCTGCATTTCCCTTTGGCTAGCTTTTTTTCTCCGACCCGTCCCGGAACAACGGTGCGAAGCAAGTGACTAGGTGCGACGAAGGACCGTACTTGGGGACCTCATTTTACTGCACCAATTGGCACTAGATAGCGTACAACAGATCTCCCCCTTACAGTAGACTCCTGGGCCTCATGGAATTGCAATGCACTGCATTCTCGTCAGACTTGCCGCATCAATCCCGCCATTTTGAGAACACGAGCGCGGCGCCAATTTTCTAATTTGCCAATCGTGCCGCTTTATGTTTCCGGCGATATTACGAGGTTGTCCAGAATCGCTACAATAAATCAATCGATGGCACCAGCAAAACCACCTTATTCAAAGCTAAAACCTCGGCATAGTCCCCGTCACTGCACTTGAGGACATTATCAAAGAATTGCCTCTCAAACAAATCGAAGGTCTAAAAATATGAACAATGCTTCCACACTTGTCTTACATAATTCTGTAATAGGCAGACTCACAAAGCACAACACTGCTGAAGGGTGCTTAAAAAGGTGACGCAACAATTTAAACTTGGAAAACTTTGCAGTTTTCAATTTAACGGGAATATTTCGGGAAATTTAACGGGAATACAATGGGAAATTTAATGGCAATATTTCGCAATTTGCAGCCGCGGAGCGGCGGCCACGGGAAACAAGGCATGACGCACATTGGCTACAATGTAAAAGACTGCCAAGATATGCCGTTATGTGCTTAATCTAATGCTATGTTTTATAAATATTGCAGTTTTAACACGACTAATTGTGCCCAAAACGTTGTATCATTGACTGTACTATATTAGGTTTCAGTGGCGCCATCTGCCCGATTAAAACTAATACCATTCCTTTCCAACTACGCGAGTCAAACTCCTTAGAAAAAGGCAAGCTCTTTGCCACGTAAATTGCAAGCCCACGCTGGAGGCTCTGAAAGAGAGTTTAACCAGACTTTCCGCGTCCCCAGTTCGCGATACTGCACATGGGATTCGAAAGACTGTGCAAGAGTTGAAAGGTTTGGAGGTGTCCAAAACGTCAACAGCTTGATTTTCTTTTTTTCACTTTTAAAGAAACTTTTACAGCTATGTCAAATTAAACGACGCATAAGAAAAATTCAGAATATACAAAATGTGCCTTGCACCCACAGCTACCACCTTTGAAAGTTAATTTACTCCAACGTTGTCCATTTTTGGTTCGTCGAGAATTAACCCCCGTAACACGTGTGCTTTTCAACGAAGGAATGCGCTTATATTGGTGAAGCACAAATATTACACTTCACATCCCCAGCAGAATGCTTTCTTTCTGTTCTACCTTCGTTTTGTCATAGCTTAGATAGCAGTTACTTATTTAGAACAGTTGTGCGCCTTGGCAACTACCGTAAATACGATAGTCGCCTTAGCGACAACTACCGTTATTTACACTATTAAAAGTCTACCCCTCGCACTTCAGCAAAAAAAAAAATTTTTTTTAGATGTTTATTTTATTGCAAGCATGTGAGAACGGCAAAGTATCTGTTTAGAAAGCTGGGCCTCCAACACGCGATCGATGCCTTCTGGTGTGCTTTGGCTGCGCATGCCTGCGCAAGGTGCATGCAGCAGCTTGGAAGCAGCACACACGTACATTTGGAGCAATTCGGTGCAGTTCCCTGTAAGTAAAACCGGCATGCGTTCATGCGATCAGTCACGTGATGCCCATTAAAAACCCAAATTTAGCAGTTTTGGTGTACTATAGTTGGTGACAAGAGTAAACTGGAAGCTCTTCCCTCCTCTTTCCACTAACTTTCCAGTGATGCCTGGCCACGAGCTGGGCATCACTAGAAAGATCGCAGCCATCTGTAGGTCGTAGAGCGCCTAGGAACAAAACAGTAGTGGCTGCGCCCATCGACGCCTTTCGTCCGCTACATTTGTTGGTCGACGCCGCCACACAGCAGCCACAGATACGGGATTACAAGATTGATGATAGAGATCGAGAGAAGTGTGAAATTGCACACGAAATTAATAGGTTATACAGATTCCTTTCAAATTCCGCGTCGAACATTTGAAAGGTGCAGAAAGATTTCCAAGCTAGGTAGCGCAAGCTACCACCCCATATAAGGGGACACAGCCGGCAGCATCCATCTATCTTATCCTAAGCCACCGCCGGCAGCTCCGTCGCCGCTAGTTCGAACACTCAATCTCTGCACCGTCCCGTTTTCGGCACGGCACTCACGGCGCTTTCGTTGGGACTGGACGAGACGCTGGCTATGTGAATGATTCCTTACACAATGGAGGCACTAACTGAACTTTTAAGAAAAGGTTTACTCTCAAAACGAAAGAAATACTTTGGTTTGCTCATCTTGATAGCCTGTGTGTCGTACCTCCCGCGGCCAGACAGTGCACTGTTAGCATGCAGTCAGAAATGACAGCAGAAAATAGTAGAAAAATCGGGAAAAGACCACGTATGATAAGTAGTGAAAGGTACTACAGCTAAAATCTTTGAATCCGGCGGTTGCTTGAGCCATCCAGTACCCTTGCCATGTACTTTACTGCGAGATTAAATGTGGCCAACCAAGCTATCATTTCCCGCTAAATCTAGTGTCGCCGGAAACTTTTTCGAGTTACTTTGGCGCAGTGTGCCTCAATTTCGACAGATTTTGCGTTTTTGGTGCAGAAAATTGGGTTTGTATCAAAATCGCACAAATGGCGCAGATGTCACACCCCTGATTACTTGTGCTTGCTGATCTTTAATAGTGCACTTCAAAATGCAACTAAAACTGTTAGGAATGTCTATAAAATTGGTGTGAACCGTGTGAAACAATGCTTTGGAGCAGGAAACCTGGATTGGATGGATTCCCACAGATTCCAGACGAAAACGAAAACTCTTCCGAACACCAATTCGTTCGCAGGTTTGTTTGCCTTGGTGCAGTTTGGAGCAATTATTCCCTTTGGGCGCAGCAAGGTGCAGGCAAGCGGGAATTTATCGGAATGGCGCAACTGGACCACTCCTGTGCATGAGATGCCCAGGCGTTATTGAAACCAGATAGTTCACGCTGATGGCGGGACAACTGAGGCTGCTTCCCGTTGTTTTCACTTTGTCCGCGACTAGACTAAGACTCGTTTGCACTGGTGATGTCAGTCCCGCCGTCTTCCCTACTATGTTCTTGAAGCACAGCGTCGGCGTCGTCCAACAAGATCTCGCAGTCCGCAAATGACAGCATCTTTTGTGCTTGCTCGGCGATCGCGTTGCACATCACGAGTAGGGAACGCTTGCGCACTTTTGGGGCGTACGTTGCAAGCCCGACCTCGAACAGCGGCGGCTCCCGCGGGCGCCAACTACAAATTTGGTTTGCGCCGTAAATATAGCTCTAAATGTTTTTTTTTTCTTTATGGTAAATTTGTTTTATTATATTCTTTTCTCATCTAGCCCATTTTAAAAAAAAGCTTTTTTTCCTTTGCACGTGTCCTTTAAGGTCTAAAAATATGCCACAATGCAGTTGAATTATGTAAAAAAAATGCCATTTTTGTTACGAAGACTGATCGAAGACAGATTACAGCTATGTTAGACAAGTGCAACCACCGTTCCCAGGACTATTTCTGACAGCTCACCTCCTTGTGATAAAGCTTAAACCTACCTTGACACCGAAATAGCATTCTTCGGCTATCCACCAGATTGTGGAACACAATTCTCCGCATTAAGTTTCATTTCTTGACGACGCTTGGAAGCCATCAATCACCAGTGATCGATGGCCTATGGGTGCGGTCAGGAAAGAGGTAATGACCACACACCCTTCAGCTCATGTTTTGCAACTGAAAAATATGTGCCTCAATATGTTAAAAAAAAAAAAAAAAAAAAACAGGTGAATTTAAGTGTGCTGAACTATTTTTTAAACGGCCTGCTAATGCTTGTAAAAAGAAAAATATGATAAAACATAAGAATCCTCATACACCAGTTTCTTTGAAATGGAGTAACTTGCCTACTCACAATCACACTGGTGTCCTCTTTGGAGAACTCTTCGCGGATCTTCTGACCCAGTTCCCCTTCTGGCAGCTTGAGGTCGTCACGGGTGTCTCCTTTGTCGTTCATTAGTGTGACAAACCCGTCATCACTGATGTCGATCAGCTGCAAGAGGCGACAAAGGCACTTCAACACTGCACTCCAACCAGGACAGTGCGGGATAGAAAATGGAAACCTAGAAGACTCTGCCCTTTGCTTTGACGCTTGTATTTTGTATTGTATTTTTTGCATATAAGCCTGTTAGGGCTCCACGCAGGCTAGTAGTTTCCCGCTCATGTTATTTCTGAGCAACTGACTGACTGTTACGTAACCGTAAACCTTAAAAAAAAAAAAAAAAAATTTATCTGGGGGGCCTATTCTATTCCCTTCCGGGCAAAAGGCATCCGATTCCATTCCCCTCAACGTTGCTGCCATTCACCATTCCATTCCGGGGTCGCGAAAATGCGGAATGATTCTGGAGTCATTCCAGCTCCGGAGTGGCAACTCCGCAACACTGGTTTCAATCCCCGCCCCCGCCAGTTTCGATCCAGATGAGCATCTTACCGGCGTGCGGTCGTCCATCACTACTGAGTGGTGCATGTTATAGTATTATTATTAGTGCTTAGTGCAGAACACATGCGATGGACCTTCTTAAGCAACAACTGGGAAGTTCTCTGTAAACTGTGAACAAAGGGCAGCCCAAAATGCTTCCGCCAGTCGCAGCCCATGGGCATTGTGCCGTTGTATCACGTTTCACTGCTTCTTAAGCCCCATACTATTGATGCTAAATAAAGGAATCTTAAGGAACGACTAAAACACAGCAGAAGAACCTCGTTGACACATTTTGACGGGGGGGGGGGGGGGGGGGGGGGGGGGGGGGGGGGGGGGAAAGGAACTTGCGCTCCGGGATAACAGAAGAAACGAGAACGCCATCGGGGGGCACTAGAGACAAGACAGACAACTGCAGGGGTGAGACAGGTGGAACAGGTTTTGGAGCAATTTTTGGAGCACAAAAATCTGGATTTTGGAGCAGCTTAGGAGCACAAAATTCTCCTTTAGGAGCAGCAGTTTATGCATTTTGGAGCACAAAAGTCTACAGCTTGGAGCGGATGTTAGAGCAGCTTATCAGCCACTTAAATCACAGGGGTGGGACAGGTGAAACAGGTCTTGGAGCAATTTTCAGAGCAGCAGTTTATGCATTTTGTAGCAACTTCGAAGCACAAAAGTCTACAGTTTGGAGCAGATTAGGAGCAGAAAATGTTAGAGTAGCTTATCAGAAATTTAAATCATAAAAAATTGATATAAATCACATAAATCAGATTTTTCTTTTTTAATGGTTATTCTTGTTCACCCTGGTTCCAATAAGTCATCAGCGCCGCTACGCACCAAAAAATAAGGGAAAAATAAAACCGGAAAAGCAAACGCGAGTTTTATGCGCATAGATGAGCACAGGAAACAGGCTTGCTGCAAAGCTTGGTGGGCACCACATACCTCAGGCTTATACGAACTGGTGCCAAAGCGCAATTCTAGTGCAAAACCTCTTAAAGCGGTGATTCGAGAGCATGAACAAAGAAGCACGGTTTACTACAACCAGACATCGATCGGACGCTCGTAGAAAGCACGTGCAGATAGAAAGAAAAGAAACTCCCGACAAAAGTGAGTCACAAGGTAAATAGTGAATTGACAGAAAAACTATGAGCACCACATGCACACCAAATACGGGTGCGTGACCGATTCATCCCATTGCTCACGCACTGAAAGCACATGTGTGATAACCGAAAGTACTCACAGCGATGGCCCCGTCCATTTTGACGAGATTACAGACACGAATGAACAATTACACAATGGAGGCGCTCAATAGCACTTTTGAGAGAAGATTTACTCTCAAATGAAAGAAATACTTAGGTTTGCTCATCCTGATAGCCTGTGTGTCGCACCTCCCACGGCCAGACAGAGAGACCGCGTGACAGCGCACAAATACCATGCAGTCACAAATGACAGCGGAAAGTAGTAGGAAAATCGGGAAAAGACCACGTATGATAGGTATTGAAGGGTACCACAGCTGAAATCTTCAAATCCGGCGGTTGATTGTGCTTTACTGCGACAAAATTGAATGTTGCCAATCAAGCTCTCGTTTCTCGCTAATTCAAGCGTCGCCACAAACTGGGTTTTTTTTTTGTTTTTTTTTTTTGGCGCAGTGTGGCACAATTTTGACAGATTTCGCATTTTTGGCGCAACTAGGCGCAGAAACTTGAGTTTGTATCAGAATGGCGCGATTGGCGCAGATGTCACACCCCCGAAAACACATGAAATCCGATATAAATCACATAAATCAGATGTCTCTTTTTTAATCCAATATAAATTATGAATTAAATTATTTTTATATTTTGCTTAAGCCCATCTTGGTGCAGCTATGGCGCAATTTTGAGCGAAAACGACGCTTTGGCACAAAATGTAGCAGACTTTCGTTTATGGCGCAATTGGCGCAGCACTTCCATCACTGTATTACCGTTCCCCCTCACGTTATAATCAAGCGAATGCAAAATTGACATCAACAATGCCCCCATTAAAAAAAAAAAAAAAATAGATTTTAAATGAAACACATTGAATTTAGACCTAAAGCGCGAAACACACGTACGACCAAACCGTCCGATCCGACGTGTGGACTGCCGGAATGACCTTGGGGGGCGAGGGGGTTCCGTAGCATCGGACAGCGTTGAAAACCCTCGCCTCCGACCGTCGTATTGCGCGGTCGAACGTCGGATTGGACGGTTTGGTCGTACGCGTGTTTTGCGCTTAAATCATACCAAACCATTGTAGAACTTGTTACTTCTGGTCGTTCCGACAAGTTTGCTCAATCTCGTGTTTTGCCTTTCGCACCGCATTTCCGCGACGTCACACTTGTGCACCGAACCAACAGCAGCGCAATGTCCACGGTATGATGCCAAATTCAAGAACGAGGCAATTTTGGTGGCCAAAGAGCTGGGAAACTCCACCGCTGCTTCACGGCCTGACATGAACAATTCTGCAATTGGCCGATAGGAGCACCAGAGGTAAGAACTTCAACAAATGTGAACCAGGCTGCAAAGTCTCCCGTGGACCTTCTCGTCGCCTTTACAGGGGCTTGGAAAATAAATTTCAGGGGCTTGGAAAATAAATTTCTGGAGTTTATCACTGATGAGGATCAAGCCTAGATGCCTTCGAAAAGACTCGAGCGACCGCATGCTTTTAAAATCGCTGAAGCAGTGTCTGCCGCGTGGTACAGCCTCCCCCTCCATGACATAGTTGCTTGTGCCTTTAAAAAGTGTTCAATTTCGAATGGCCACTAACAGTGACGTCATTCTCCCAAAACTGGCCACTGTTGACCAGTCACTCCCCTCCAAAGTGCCAACATGCCAAAAGTCGCACCCACCTGGAAGTCGCTGCGGTTCACGTTGGGCACGTCGATGTTGTGCGTCGACGGGCACAGATCCTCGTGCTTCTTGCCACAGAAGATGTCGATGCCCACCAGGTGCACCTGGGGGAAATGCTCGGCGTGAGACTCTACCCACACCTTCCTCCGTGTTGAGACTGCGGAGGAGCATTCGCTCAGAGCAGAACAGGTCCTCATGGTTGTCATAGGAAGACCATCGTGAAATTACTGCATCTCATCACAGAAAATGATAGGAGCATAGAGAGCATGACTGCCACTGGTGCCGCGACGGACCTAAGCGGTCCTTTTCGTCAAGAATGCAATCTGCTACTCGTAATGAATTGGCGAGCGAGTGGTCAAGTACGAACGAAACGTCCACTACGCCGGATATTTTAATGTAAGGAGACTCATTTGTCGAGCACCATATGCAATAAAAATACAAAGCTAAAAAAAAAAAAAAAATTTTTGTCTGCGAAAGAGGTAAATGTAGTCCGACAGGATGAGTACAGCAAGGAAGGGTTTCGGTTGTCCCGGGTCAAGTGCAAGCCTCCCGCAGCGACTAAAAACATTGTCACCGAAGGTTTGTCGTCCCTCCCTCCCCTCCCTCCCAGAGCCGTTTATCGAGAGAGTTTGGCCATACATTGGTTTGAATAGGCGAGCATCTCGGGGCCAACCACAGGCCGCGAAACAGCCCCTAGCGGTGGTCGTGTGATCTAAATATGGGACACGACTATACTTCGTTTCACCTTATGTGAGAGCGAAGGCAAAACTGGAAGCGCGAGCACGGAAGCTCCGTGCGTTCAGGCTTTGCTCGAGCGCACGAGCTGGGGAGAAATTCGAAAAGCGCTGGTCTCGCGCTTCTAGCTTTGGCTTCGCTCGCAGATAAAGTGAAACGAAGTACAATTTGAGCCGTGCGGAGCGGAACTCCGCGTCTCAAGACGCTCGCGCACCCTACCCTTTGCACTGTTTTCTTTCAGTCAGTCTCAGAACGCTGCTCTAGCAGTGCAGACAAAGGCATGGGCACGAGAGCGTGGCTTTGGAAAGTGCTCGCTATGCACGAGGTCTCGTACAAACAAAAGCGTTTCGCTGAGCTAGGCTCACGCGCCTGTGCCTTTGTCTTCACTGCAGACATTTCTGAGATGGAGTAGAGGTCTCCTGACTGGTCGACGCATTGTCTCAAATTTAGTTTACGCTCTAAGCTTGGGGGGAATATTCGGCGCTGGCGGCGGCCTTTGCTCCGCCTATTGGCCAAACTCTCCCAATACACGGCTCTGCTCCCTCCCTCCCTCCCTCCCTCCCTCCCCATTATAAGCACCCTCGCCTTTTCATAAATGTTCAGTCTAAGAAAACACTCGAATAAAGAGACCACACATGCCTACCACCCCAAAAGCTTGCCAAAAGTAGCCCCACAAAAGAATGCTAAGTAAGAACACCAAGTACCCAATTGCCCCAAAAGATTGCCAGAAACAGAAGGTGCTCAGGTTCTCATTGAACCCCTGCAGCTTCGGTTCGCAGGCTTGAGACAAGAGACAAAGGTGGCAAAGCTGAGAAGCAGAGGAGAGGCACCCACCTTGGCGTGTCCGTGCTTGCCCGTCTTGGAGGTGGTCATCTCCACGATGCGGCAGGGCCTGCCCTTGAGCATGACGAACCCATTTTTGCGCAGAGAGGAGCACTGCACCGGGTACGTCTCGGAGGCCCCGGACCCGGCAACCTGATACTGCTCCGCATCTTCCATGCTGCTCGGGCACCTCAGCTGCAACAGGGAGACGCACGCCAGAGTCTCAACTTCCGCAGCAACCCGTTCGTGCTCACCGACTGTCCCGTGCCCTCTGAAGTCGCTGCCTAACAAGCACTCGAGAGCACATACAAATTCATTAATGTGCAAGATCTGGCATGAGCGCACCAACTGTCCAGCTGGCATGTGCACCTCCACTGTCGGCGATGCTAGGGTCCACGGTACTTATGGTCCGCATAAACTTATTAAGATTGACGATACTGGAAAAGTACCTTTGCTCTAACGAGGCAATTAATGTTAACCAAACAGCAGCCACATTCTGCTAGTCAGCAGCCCAAGAGCTGCCATCCTAATATTGTGATCAAATTTATCCTGTTACCTTTGCCAATGTGGAGGTTACATGTAACAACGCATCCTCCCCCAATCAAATGAATTTTGGATTAGACACATGCAATACAAAACTTGCAAACAACTTTCCTTGCATCTGAATGTGACCAAACGACGATTAGCAGAGGCAATAGAGCTAAAGTTTGCTCAGGTCACAGAAAGGTTGCTTCGACATGTTGGACAAGTGTTCGCAGGCAAGCTGCGCATTAATCACGAAAAGATAGCCCACACAGAACAAAGGAATGGGAACACATGTGAAATAACCACATATCTATCTGATTGCGCTTTTAGACTGCCCATACTAATCTCAGGAATTGTAAACAACCTCGAAATTGCCGAACCCACGAGCGTGCCCCTGCCGAAATGGGAACAAAGAAACCTCGACATGAAACAGCGAACATACGAGGCGATCCTACACATTTAAAGAACCTGGAGCGTTCTCGTAGCAGATTAAAGCCACCCACGCAAGTGACGTTCGCGCGACTAAACGCAAAACGTAAAGCGCTAAAAAAAAAAAAGCGGACAGATGCCCACGCTCAACAAGGACACTGCACCGTGAGCAGCGTGGCAATCGCTCAAACAAAAGGCCAAACTGTGTCTCGGTGGCGACGAAATCCCTCCGCCAAACTTCTAAAAACGAAAAAGGCGCACACCGACTGTTTGACGTCACTGCCAAGTGCCAGTCAACGACCCAGAGTCTGCGAGCCGACCGCACACCATTCATTCGACACGAGGCGTCCTACACCTAGATCCGGGACACTGCCACAGGTGGTGTTCGAAGATCAAAACAAAGAAACACTCCAAAGAACGGTACTATTCGCAAGACTCCGAGCTAATCATCCGCTAAGTCCATCGATTGATAACGAAAAGACAACCCGACACTCGTCCCAAACTCCGGAGACTGAACCAGACAGTCTGCGGAAAAACCGGACGCGACAAGTTTTCCGCGACTCCCGATAACTCGCGGACAGAAGACGGATTATTAACAGGGGTTCGAGGGACAAAGGAAACCGGGTTAAAGCGCGCGATGGACAAACTTTAGCGACGAAAAACCTGGATGTAATGACGGCAAGACGCTGGCAAAGCTCGCTGCTCCTTCCAGATGGAGGGGGGCTAGCCGGAGCCGGCGGATCGGGACACACCGCGTGGGACCCCTGGTCGGGAACGGTCGTGTTTCCGAGGACCCCGGATAGAGCCGTCAACTCGACGTCCCCCACATACGGAGCGGGAAAGTCTAGTTTTATCGGCCTGAAGCGAATCGAAACCGCGAGGAGCGAGGTAACCCTATTAGGCTTAAATAAAGAGTGGGGGGACGTCTTGACAAAAGACGGCACGAGCACATCGTCCATCTCAGGGTCGCCCGCAGATTCGCGTGGGGCAGTTGTGCGGGGTGCGGAAAGGAGGGTGCGAATGTCCGCAACCCAGAGCCGCAGGTCTCGTCGCGGACTCTTTCGATCTCTGTCCGCCTAAAGGCAGCGTATCTCGGGAGGGACTCCGAAAAAAAGCCGCAAGAAAAACGTCATGGCGCGAGTGGACGGGGCATTAGGCCTACTCTTGCACGAACCTCGTATTCGGGACAAAACTCGTCTCGCGCTCAGCGCGCTCCTTCAGCAAACGGTGCGCGACGCAAAAGACGGAGAAACGAGTAAGCTCGCGTTCTGATCTAGGGGGACAATGGCAACATTACGCGTAAACAGAGCAGCCCGTCGAAAACTTACATGTGACTCCTCCGGGTGAATTTAGAAAAGGGATAGCTGCGTTTTCGCTCCACGTTTTCGGAGGATTGGCTGGTCCCAAAAGGCGATGCGGACGAGCGGCGTCTCAGTGAAAACCTGGTAAATAATAAACAGAAAACAAAACCTGTCAACTACTTATTTTATAATATTGTTTGATTCAATTTAAAACAACTTGGACGATTAACAAGGATCCTTATTAGCTGGTTTTGATTTTTTATTTCGTCCCCTCCGCTACGTTAATAACCCTGTCCAATGAAAAGTATGGAAGGCTAAATGTTGGTGCTTGGTCGTCGTATTTTTTCACGAACGTCATTAAAATTTGGACCAATCGCGCAGTACGTTACCGGCGTTCTATGTGCGGCGTGGATAGCGGATAGCGTGGACGAAGCCGGGGAGGGAGAAGAACAAAGTAGAGGACGGAGTTGTTCCATCTGAGTCGGCGGAAGGAAGACGGTCCCAGGGTGAATAACATCGGAGCGCAGGAACCTTTAAAATCATGGCGGAGACCGAGATCGGTTCTGAGGAACCAGTTTCAAGAAAGAAAAAGGAAGTACTCGGTGAGCTACCGCAGCGAGACGGTTTTTGTCGTCCCAACTTTCTCGCGTTTACCTGGCCGTGCCCCCGGTAACGAAATGTGTACGCGTGATTGATTGGGGATGCGGCTCGCTCGAGTTGACACGGCCCCACGCCGGTGTGGACGCGGTTGCCGCCCGGCGCATTATTCCTCGCATTTGTTCTCGGAGCTCGTTGCGGCGGCTTGAGCTGTTCCGCGGCGGGGCCGTCCGTCGGAAGGGAAGCGGCTCGGAGCGCCGCTGCACCTAAGCCTAGCCGCGGTGTGTGTTTTTAGGCTTAGCTGGACCACGCTTTGCAGAGAGTCTTTATAAATAACTCGTTCATTGCGACGTGATTTCGGCTCGGCGATTTATCGGTAACGCGGCGCAAGTGTCCCTCGAACGCGCTGTCGTCGCGTCAAAGCGCCTTTTACACGGTGGGTTTCCTGGACGGCCGTTGAAAAGGGAACGCGCTCGATCTTTCTCCTCGGGTGTCTACCGACACCGCACAGTGCGAGATAGACGAGCACACCTTTCATTCCTCGATTTCGCGCGTTAACGGCTCTGCTCTTTTTCTTGTTGTTGGAAGCGCACTCCTCCTCGTTTCCGGCATCAGCACGCCGGGTGTTTCATTTTGAATTTCTATTTTGTTTTGCCTTTTCCCCTTCGTTCGCGCCCTGATACGTGAGCGACATTTGAGTTGAGGTGCTTTGGTCGTCGCTAGAGTTGACAGCGTAGCTCATGTTGGGTTTTTGCGTCTTTGTTATTGTCCTCTTCTCACATTATTTGCCCCCATTTGACGCCCGAGCCCTGAAACACTGAAACGAATTAAAAGTGAGCGAGTATGGTTACTTTGAGTAGCAGTGCTGCCACGGAGCTCGTGTCTCGCTTTCACCGTAGTAATCACGCTCGTACCTTGCTCGTCTTTATTTATTTATTTATTTTTCTTTTAGCTGAACGAGTTTTAGGAACAGTGAAATGGTTCAACGTCAAGAATGGCTACGGATTCATTAACAGGTATCAGTCAATTTTGATGCGGTGGCAGTGCCGCCAGATTTTCCTGTTATGTCAGTGCCTCAATTTCTCACGCTTGGCGTTTATTATAATTTTTTTTTTTTTTTTTTACTTTAGAAACGACACGAAAGAAGATATTTTCGTCCATCAGGTGAGGAATTGGTGACCAAGCTACACTAAGCGTTACAAATAAATTTGCTCAGCATAACCTGTCAACAAAAAAAGTTATTGAATCAAACTGGATCTATTCATTTGCTTGAGTTGCAGCAACTGTTTTGTTGCCACTAAACAGGTGTGTTAAGGATATAAATTAGGATCCCTTGGTGAGAGAGAGCATTGTTTGGTAAACTTTCCTCTCTTCTGCGTAGTCAAAACCTTTGTCTGACGGGTTAAACCTACGGTAAGATAAAATTGTAAGCTATCATTATAATTGATGTGTACATAACTGGAGAGTGGCAATTATTATGCTGTGCCAAACTAAAGGTCTATTCACATGATGCATCTTGTTGGCGAATGTTGTGTCGCGAAGCTAGGTTTCGGGAAAAAGATTCCCCAACTGAACGCGACCAAAAAAGTGGCGCGTGTTCCTAGCTTCTGAAGCAATTTTTTGCTGAAACCTCACCGAGGCCTGTCAATCACCCGAAGGAGAAACGCGGACGCTGCCAATGGCCGCTCGACTTCGCTATGACGTCTGACTTTAGGGGGGTCTGGTTATTGGCCGATTCTGTATCAGAGCCAAAGCCGAAAAAAGAAAAGCAAACATGGCGAGTGAGAAGCGGTGGGTACGGGCGATGAGTCTTGGTCCTACTCGGTTGCAAGTGTGTGAACGGCGCTTTAGCAGAACGGGATGGTGGCGCGGTGCAGATTCATCAACAGTCGCCACGAGTGCAAGCACCACATATAAACATGATGACTGGGGATAACTTCTTTTAGCAGTGCAGAAATGTCGGAAATACTTTGAGATCATCCGCCTGTTTTTTGACGTTTGCAGTCTTTCCCGGATTTGTCAGGACTAGTAAACCCAGTGAGCCGAATCTGAGGAAGTTTATTGCGTGGTATTAATAAAACAGTCTCTTCACACTCTGCTTACTTCATATCATTGTTATGCGAAACATTTGATGTTCCCGGTGCAGATGACAAGGTTGAGGAAATTCTTGCGAGTCACTACGTTGCAGGTTTCGTGCGTCAAACTTCACGTGTGAACAGGCCGATTTCGTGAAATCTCGGTTTTGCTAAACTGTGGCGCGTTGAAAACATGCATCGTGTGACTAAGCCTTAATGGCTGCATGCTTGTCAAAGGGGTCAGGGTGTCTTCTCACATTCATTTAAAGAATAAAATTAGCTACAGTATTTGCCTTCTCTCCCACAATCTACCATAATTTTAACGAAGTGTCTAGCGTTACGTCCGACATAACCCAAGTTACGTCCAAATCACTGCCTTCCCGAGGTTTACAGGAGGGAAGAGAGGAGGGCGGGAGGTGGGTTAGGTCTACGCATTTCAGCTCCATGCAGACGTGACGCTAGACACAGCGTGATTTTAATGACCTGCCATTCCAACCAATTTCTAATTGTATTAATCTCTGGAAATATGGTTGTGTTAACTCTTTGTGCCTTGTTTACAGACTGCAATAACAAAAAACAACCCCTTAAAGGTGGTTAGGAGCGTTGGAGAAGGAGAGACCGTCGAGTTCGATGTTGTCGTCGGTGAAAAGGTGTGTATGTTCGCTTTAGCCTCCCATGCTTGGCAGGATCCTGGTTTTGACACTTGAGGCACTGAACCGAAAGCTTATTCGCATAAAATTGTGGTAATTGTTCGTCTATGGCCACTGCAATATTGAGAGGGTATCTATATGCTCCTTTGCCAATTTGCAATGCAGCGGGGCTTTAAATGTGGCACTGGTTCCATTCAAAAGAGTGCAGTTTGGAAATCTGGCTAATGTTGAAGGTGTTCAAATCCTCATAAGCTTGTGTGTGGGTGCAAAGTTTAGATTCAAAGAGTAAGATGTCACGGTTCATTTAGCAATATCGAGAATGGAGGGGAAAAAAGTGCCAACATAAGTTTGAGCATCCCCGGGTCAGATCGACGAGCGAGGGAAAGTTGTGCACGAGATTGTAACTTGCCACTCGGGCCAAGTGTGAAGATGTCTGGCTGATTTATTGCTGTTCAGACTGAATTTTAAGGTGCATCTTGGAAGCTTTGGGGCAAAGGGTCAAAAGCGTGATCTTCAGAGACCTACGTGCTTGCAATTAAGCGCTTGAAATTGTGCCATCACTGTTCAGCAACTGTTAGGTGCCTCTGGATTGTTGCATTTAGAATGCCGGTTCAATTTTCACATTAAGCTGCTGGAGGGAGGGAACCGAAAGCTGTGTGGCATCTTGCGGGAGGCCTCACATTTCTGTCATACTTCTGGGTGGAACGACACTGTTCCTATTTGTAAGAGGCCACTTGAAACATAATTTATACTAGTATTAGCGAAATGTTGGATTGCTGCACTCCAGCTTTTTTACAATCCGGGTGATGATGCGAACGCTATTAAGGAGTATGTTGCTGCGACAGAGGAGCCCAGACAGCGTTGGCAGGAGTGTTAAAATTGACTGATACTGGCACCTGAAATTCACATAGATTTCCCACGTTTAATTGCCTCCAAAGCTAGGGGAAAACAAAGAATAGAAGGGTTTAAAAACAATGAAGGACCGTACAGTGATGCACCACAGTGGAGAAGCGTTAGGCTGCACCGCATTTATAGTTGATGGACGAGCTGTCGGACGGCACTCGTTCGAGTATATTGCGTGCGCTAAGTTGGATGCTAGAACAGTCCGAAAGTCATTTGCAGTATTCGACAATCCTAATAGCAGGAAATTCGGAGCTTAATGTAGACAGGCTGCATTTTGCCCGCAATGAACTAATATTTTTGCTTTAAGCCAACTGTCGCAATGGCAACTATAGTACACGGATGTCTCGTGTACTATAGTCTGTACTGCATCCAAAAATTGTGAATTGTGCCTGGCTGCATCTTTACTGCAACATCGCCTTCCTCCGTGGGACGCTCCGCCCCCAGCACGGGCTCATTACACTTCATCGTGCTTGGGCTGCACGCGTAACGGCACAGGGTTAATGGCATTGGATGCACTCTCGCAAAATGTGTTCTGAAGTGCTTCGTACAGGGGCGGTCCAGCTGTGCCATTTGCGCCATTTTAATCAAATCTCTCTTGCTTGCGCCCAAAGAAAGAAAATATTGTGCCAAACTGCGCCAAAGAATTTGTGGAAACAAACCAATTTCAAGCAAGATTTTTTTTTTTAATTGGGGAGAATTTAGTGGGGTTTGCCATCACAATCCAAATAAGGTTTCAGGCTCCAGTGGATTGTTTCACAGCAATTTGACCTTGACTTTCCTCACAGCCCTAGTGCTGCACAGCTTAATCAGTTTTAGTGGCATTTCGGAGCGCACTACTAATGAAGCGGCACAAGTACTATATGGTTCGAATGACATGCGGACGGCGGAGTGAGTGTGCTCGGACACATGCTGCGCAACCTAGAGGCAACTAGAATCGGTGACAGGTTGAGAGCTCAGGGGAAACTCCTCCTTCCACTTTAGTAGTGCGAGTGCTGGAGAACAGGCGACGTCTCCAGCATTTGCCCTGCTAAAGTGGAAACGGGTGGGAGGAGTCTGGCCATGAACTCATCAACTGTTGCCAACCATAGGAAGCGATACAACTGCGAGGGAGAAAGGGGGCGTGAGGGCGCGTGTGCGTGCTCTCCACACCGCAGTTTCATCAGTTTATAGTAGCCTCTAGATCTGCGCAGTGTGTGTCGAGGCCAATCGCTCCACTGCTTGGATTACATTCGAACATGATGGTGCTTTCTTTACTCCTTTTTCAACAAGCTGCTTTGTAGACACGTGCTCGCACACGCTTGGTTCCCATATTGTTAGCATGCTCGGTTGGGTTTACTTTAAGAATTGTTACTTTTTTCGTGTCAATTGAGGCAGATAATGTATTGTCCTACTTATTCAAACACCCGTGCATTAGGGAGCCCAGATATTGTTCATAAAATTTTATATACTAAGTCGGATTCTGGGGCAGCTGATCATGATCACAACAGGTGAAAAGCAAAGGGTTGAACGCTTCCCAATGCTTGTTGTTTGTAGGAGTTATCAAGTAGAGTAAATTCCAATTTTCATGTCACGTGACAAATCTTTGCATTGTACCAATATATTTTTTTTTATTATATAGAGGGTTACCAGGGTTGGGCAGTATCGCGATACAAATGTATCGCGATAGTATTTCAGAAATACATTTCGTATCTGTTTTTCTGTATCGCGATACACTTTTATCACCAGTATCTGTATCCCTGTATCTAAATACATTTGGAATGCTTCTTTGTATCGCGATACAATCAGGATGAATTGTATTTTCGCTACATTTCTTGAGAAATACTCCCCCCCCAACCCCCCGAAAACAAAAAAAAAAAAAATCGGAACACATTTTTTTTTTTTTTTTTTTTTTTACTTCTGAGGGCACCAGAGTCAAGGAGGTGCTGGGGCATTGTTACTATGCTGACCAAGGTTCCTTTTGATCCTCCAAACTATTTTCTATGCGTCCTCTTCTCTCTTCTGAGAAGTGTTGCGTAGTCGGGGACTCGAACCAGGTGGCGTGCCAGGAGTGGAGTCGGAGCATCTTCTGCCGCAGGTCCTTGGTAGGGATTTCTTGAGTCATTGTTTGCTGGCGTCCAATGCCCGCTGCTAACCGTCCCTCTCGCCTTAGAGTACAGAGTACACCCAGCCGGCAAAGCTGAGTCACATTCCGTTGCAGCACGAGCCTGGCAGTGATTGGCTTGAAATAGTAGGGAGACTCACGCAGTGAAGTTCAACACATATTCGAATGCATCTGCGGCTGCGCCCGTAACATTGCACGGCTCAAGGGCACGTCGTCAGCCGACGTGAACGTGACCCGCTGCTCTGGTGATCCGAAACCCAGAAAGAGTTCAGAAGTGGCCTCACTGTGCCACCCCAGACTACGTACTCCCGCGACTCGTCTCGAGCCCGCTGTTTCTCGGACAGCTCGCACCTGTGCCGGCAGTATCAACTCGCAATCCACGAGGTCTCTGTTTGGATAATGCTAGGCAAAACTTGAGGATTGCAATCCGTGCGTCAATGGCGGAGGGTCGGCAGTAGGACCCTTCAGAACAGGGATGCTACCGTATCGTTTTTTCAACCGTAACAGAAGATAAGACATGTATTCCAAGATGCTTCAGGTGGTCCACTGTTCTCAAAAATTCCAAATGACACTGCCTGCACGATCTTCAACTAGGTAACCTACAACGAAGGTACGTATTGTCCTTTCATACAACAGCATGATAAAGTTTCATGCTCAAGGCCACACGTACAGATAAAGAATACTAGTTCATTCCACCGTGACGTCATGTGATCAATGTTGACACGATTCTCTCGTAAGACAGACAGGATGTCAGGGAAGAGACCGCGGTCAGCCCTTGATGGAACATTTTTTTTTGGGCCCATTGAAGGCTCCTTGTCGTCCGAAATCACTACCTTCAAGGCAAAGTGCCAAGCCTACAGGAAAGTAATTTTGGGATCGAAAACTTCCACTTCAAGCTTCATCTCGGTTGGCGTCTCAAAAATTTGGAAAATGTATTGCACTATCAGTATTTCTGTATTTGTATTTCTGCCCTCCCTCAAATGTATTCCTGTATTTGTATTTCCAAATACTTTTTGCCTCTTTTTAAAATGTATTTCCGATACCGTATTGCGATACATTTTTACATATATATCTTAGTATCAGTATTTTAGCTACTATTTTAATGTATCCCAGTATTTGTATTTCCAAATACATTCTTGAGTATTTCTGCCCAACCCTGAGGGTTACATTGGGGGGGTACCCTATATTGACTTGTTTGTGACGATATTTAGTGCGCTTACATCATTCCTGCTAGCCTTTGTCCGCTAGTACTAACGGAAACGGAACACTAATTTGGCCAAGTTAGTGGCACTGTTTTACAGCGCAAAATGGCAATTCGGCTAGTGTGGTATGACTGCTATCTTGGGGTTTTTAGTGGGTATCATGCAGTAGCAATTACTTGAATACATGTCTGTACCACTGGTAGGGAATTGGTCCAACTTGCTCCAAACGTATGTATGCGCTGTTCCTGAACTGCTCCAAACAAACTGCAGGAGGACGCTGAAGCTTCGCCTTTAAGACTGGAACGCGATAACTAAATATAAACTCCCCGCTCATTCCCAGGCCATGCAAGCGTGTCTGCGCGACTAAGTCGGTAGCGTGTCTGGCTCTCAGCCGAAGGGGTTGAATCCTGCTACGCCTGAAATTCTTAAATTTTTTTCTTTAAGGCAAATTACTTATCGACCTATCTAGATTTTTCCGTCCCGCCAATGCCGGCTTTTTTTGCGACACAAGCTCCTTAAAGCTCTCGCTTTAAAATAGCCAAAAACTCAAACTGGCTGAATCGTAGAATCCCTCGTGAAATTAACGGAACAAGAGTCTTTGCTGCATATTCCCAGGCGGCTTTGTGACGGGATGGCTCGGGTGTTTCAGGGCAACGAGGCGGCCAATGTGACGGGGCCCGAGGGCGTCCCCGTGAAGGGGAGCCCCTATGCAGCAGACCGGAGGAGGGGCCGCTTCAGGGGTCGCTGGACGGCCCAGCGGCGAAGGCCCCCGCCCCGCCAGTCAGGCGTAAGTGCCCCCCCTTTCTTTTTTATTTTCCCTTTTTGATGTTGCGGGGGCTCTGTTTTTTTTGCCCCATGTGTTGGGTGAACGTTTCTATGGACAGTCACGTGCAAGCACCAGGTGCATCCTTTATTTCGCCGTCGAGACGTGGAGCGGGGCTCAAAGGGGATCCGTGCTCGCTTTCCTAATAATGCGAAGAAATACGGTTAAGTAACAGCGAGGCGTACGGACCCTCAAAAATTGTCGCGAAAAATGTTCTTGGATGGAAAGAGGCAGGGGGCCCGTTTTTGTTTTTCGTTTAGCCAGCGCCGAGATTGTGCTTCCCTCACTGGCTGCTCAAATGTGCAACGACGGCTTCGCCTAAAAGCTTCATTCATTTTTAAATTTGATAGGTCTCTCGCACTCAACATACTGCGATCTTTCGTTTTTTGTTTCTGTGTTCCTAAAGAGCAGTTGCAGAACTTTTTAAACACACACAAAGGTCATTGCAGCATAGTTTTAAATTTGACCTCAATATTTTGGGCTTACTGGCTTTGTCGCGAGAGCTTTGCTGTTTTCGGTGTGTCTACCAACGGGAACTTCTACCCTCTTCAGCATGGCCGGGGAAATTGAGATTTGCACATTTTTAGAGTCAACAAAAATGTCATGGGAGACTCGACTGGCGTGCCGATAAATCCCTGCTTGGAAACGGAACTGGAAGATCCAGCCGGAATTGCCAGTTTACAAGCGTGCACACCAAGGAGCCTCGTCATCATTGTGTTCGTAAATGGCCCGTTCCCACTTCGGCATCTTTGCCGAATGGCTCGCCAACACGAGTACTAGTTTTCCTAGCTTCACCACTCTTCTAGATGGGCTCTTTCTATGGGCTGTCTGCAGCACGACTGTTCAGTTCATTTCTTATGCTTGGGTGAAAACATCTCCAAGTTCAAGCTGGGAAAAGCTCAGCCCTGTTTTGTTCCCTTAGGAGTCTGAGATCTGGAAAAGAATTTGAGGTCATTTTGGTAGACACTCTGATTGTGCCTAGCTTCTTAGGCTCACCCTTCAAGAGGGCAGTGTATATTTTTTTATGGCTCTGTGGTAAAGGGGTGGTGTCCCTCTTGCAGGACCAGGAGGACAGCGAAGGGGCGGAGCTGCAGGGAGAGGAGGACGGCGGGGGCCAGCAGCCCCGTAGGGGCCCCCCGCCACGGAGGCCTTTCTACCGACGCTACTTCCGCAGGCCACGGGGCATTCCCCGCAACTCGGGCGGAGACCGAGGCTCGGACATGCAGGGAGAGGAGGCAAGCGAGGCACAGAACAAACCCTTTCTTACCTCTCTTAGGCGGCGTAGGGGGCATGCTGCTTGCTCCGGCCCTTCCGGAGCCTTTTGGGGCTGTCCACTCACTCACTCACGATTCACTAACTCACTCACCCACCTAGTTGACTCTGACTCACTCTCGCTTCCTTTTTGGTTGATCCGACGCGTTGCCTGTTTTGTGTGCTTTGGCAGCTTTCTTTTTTTCTTTTGGGGGGAAAAAAAAGGATGGAAGCAGGTTGGAACGTATTGACGACTGCGTTGCTTTGCCGGGCAATTGGGATGCGGCGCACTGCGGACTTGCGTGCATAGTTGTGGCTCGCTCACAAGGTCGTCTTGGCTTGCCGTAGTGGACTTGGCTGGCCTCGCCTTTTTAATGTGGTAGTGTTGTCCGATACCCCGGATGATGCTTTTTTTTTTTTTATTATTACCGACGTTCTCTGTTTGAGCAGTTTGATCGGCGATCTAAACGTAGCCATTCGGGACTGCTGTAAGGAGGAATGGATAAATTCCCCAATGTAAGTGGTGTGTAGGCAGATTGTGCTTACTGGGAAGATGCCTTGCCTTGGGAGGCCTGCAGGGCGTTGGGGTACGGTCGCCGACCGATTTTGCAAATTCAACGGAAATTGTGCAAAAACCAAAATAATTGGGTAGACCGAAAAAAAAAAGATTTCGCTCGAATCCGGTTGATTTGCTGGAAATGTTGTCTTCGTGAAACTTCTGCTTTGTGTCGGCCGGTGTCTTCTTGCTTGGTGATCGCAGCTCTTCCCCCGTTGTCATCTTGCCCTATTTGCCACGTTTGTCAGGCCCTTCTTGGTGCCCACAGGGAAGAAGCAATTGATTGATGCCATTTGGCACACTGTGAGACAACATTCAGCTGACTGGGGTTGCTTCATTGCGTGTTCTTTGTTTTGCTCAAAGAACACGAGACGGTGGCTATGCCATGGACGCCATGGTTGCTTACCACGGTGTGGCGGCCATAGCTGATTGGGGTCTTGTAGCCTTAATGCAACTTCTACAGTAGGCTCGCGATAATTCAAACTGATATTTCCTACTTCTGAAGTTTTGGTTGTCCCACTATTTCTTATGTATTTATGAGCCGCTTAATTCGAATAGCACTTTTGTGTAATTCGTGCTTTTTGTTCTCGCGGCCCTGTGGAGCATGCTCCTTACCGAGCACCGGTGCACTGTGGGAGACAATACGGCGGCGGAGCTCGCTTCTGTGGGTGTTGCTTCTCCGCACTACGCCGGTCCTTGGTAAGAAGAGCACCCGGCGGGTCTAGTAGTTCAGAATGGACAACGTTTTTGCTAAACTAACAACCTCTTTTTTTCTTATTTTTTTTAGGTGTCATCTGTTTAAGCAGTTTATGATAATAGACAGCATTTTTGAGGGATGCATAAACTTACCTCATTTCAATATTATTTTATGTGTGTCATATGTTCTTATTATTGGTAGCCTGTGTACAGGAAACGATAAAATATTTGCTTTGTATGTGTAGCCATCCACATTAACAAATAATTTTATCTTGCATCTTTATATAGATGAATTTCTGATAATTCAAACAAAATTTGTGACTTCCTGGAGTTTGAAATGACGAGTCTACTGTATATCGCATAGGACGTGATTCAGGCTCCAACTGCAAACCGAAATTGCAGGTACAAACCATGCAAACCAGGTCCTAAAGGTCTTGTAACGAGTTAAATTTCGGTCGCTATATAGACTAACTCGATGGTGAGAGTCCTGCAAAGACGTCCGAATAATTGGTCGGCGACTGTACTGTACCATAATGTCCGAAACAGCTGCCTGCTCACAGTAAAGAAATGACCTGCGGAAATTGCGGAGTAAGCAATTCGAAGATTTCGGACAGCGTTCTCCTCACTTCGCGTTGGCGCTTTAACTTTGCAGCCCCATGAGTGGTGCCACGCCGCGGTGATAAAGCAAAATCCAAAGTGCCCTGGGGAAAAGAAGAAAAAAAAAAGTGGGAAAGGAAAGGCTGGGAGCGGGCAAAAATAAAGCAAGCCACCGCGCGAGCAGCCATTGTGCAGTGAAAGGAATGTCCTAATGGCTTTCTGCCACTTGGCTCCTGCAGAGAGAACTGCTGTGTGTTGCGCGTTCAATGCGGCTGTTTATTCTGTGTTTATCCTCGGCCGAGCGCCCCTCAGTCTCCCCGTACTGCTGGCGACGCACTGCGGCTCCGCTCTCCTTGTTTGAAAGAGTGGCGGCGGTCGGCGATGCGATAACATGGCGGTGTGCAGGCCTGCTGAGTGCAAAGGTGTGCAGTCATGTGCGGAGTCAGTCTCATCGTCATCCTGTGGCATAATAGAGCAATAGGCAGTCAATCGGAGCGGTGGGCGGCAAAGCCACTACCGCCCACTGTGGGGAGAACCCTGATCTCGGATGATGCAAGAACCGATACTGCGGACACAACAAATGTGTGTGTCGCTGTGCCATTCCGTGACTTTATCCTTAGCTTCATGAATGATACGAGCAGTTTCGTCAATCCGCACATAGAATGTTTGAGTGATCGCTTCCTTTTTACAGCGAAGCTGTTATACGCTAGGGTCTGGGAAAAAAATGCGTATTCACATGTTGACAGAAAACTCCCCATTGGTCGTTGCAAGTATGAATAATAAAAACAAAAAGGGGGCGACCAGTGTGAGTCAGCCTTGCTTTGCATTATTAGTGACGTCCTGATCCCTTGTTATCATCTGTAGGCATCGTCCTTGAGGTCGTCCTCTAGGCATTGTCTTAGTTGTCGTAAAGATAACAGCTTCGCTGGTCCTTCATCGTCACGTGAAGTGAAAGGGCTCTACCATTCTTTTAGAAGAGGGCCTTGCAGCAGTTGACAATCACATCGAAAGTATACATGTGTGCCAGCGATTGCTTATGATAGTCAAAATAACAGTGGTATGCGTGCGAATGTTTGCACCACCCGGTGTGGTGACAGTAAAAGGCATGCGGGCCGCATGCCTTTCCCATTGTCAGCTAGGCAGCGTGATGTGCCCACCATTAAGTGCATTCATTCAAGAATGCGCCACCACGTGGACATTTTCACTGCTGCTAACAATCGGTAGTGCACTCACGCAAGTGATGATAGAGACAGGGATTGGCAATTTGGATAACAAGACGATGCTGGCATATGTAGAACTACCGTAAAAGCCCGAAAGGATGCCCACCTGAAATGAAGAGATTAATGATGAAAAACATTAGGTGGGGCAATCTTTGGAGATGCCACAGCAAAACTTTATCAAAAATGAATGATAAACACCAAGCACCCACTACAAACCGCGTGACGCAGGAACTGATACTCCTGATCGTGGACGCCGCAAATTTGCGTTTCACGATGCGGTAAACACAAGAATTCGCTACGAACTCCTGTGTCACGGGAAACGATACTGCAGGTTGTGGACGCAGCAGATTCGCGTTTTACCATGCGAAGGACCCGCGGAAACCTACCGAGAACTCTCATCTTACGGGGATGACTACTGCAAATCGCGGATGCAGCACATTCAAGTTTTATGGTGCAATAAACATGCGGGAACCCGCTACAAACTTGCCTGTCACGGGAACCGATATCGTGCGTGCTGGTCGCAGACAAAAACGCTAGAATCCGCTACAAACACTTGTGTCACGGGAATGAATACCGCAGATTGCGGATGCAGCGTAATCGTATTTCACTGTGCAATATACACGCGAGACCAACCTGCATGTTTCGGGAATTGGGTATCGCGCGCGCAGGTCGCTGACAAAAACGCAGGAATCCTCTACAAACCCTCGTGTCACGAGAACGGATACCACAGATCGCGGACGTGGCAGGTTTGCATTTCACGATGCAGTGTACTCGCTGGAACTACTTGCGTGTTATGGGTGCTGGTATGGCGTGCACAGATCGCAGACAAAAACACGGGAACCCGGTATGAACTCACTTGTCAGACGTACCCGGTACAGCAATTGGCGAGGCGGATGCAATTCCCTTTGGGCATCGCGTGACATCCGACGGGAATCGGGAAGGTGGGGGATGTTTCGGAATTTTTATGTTACAGATGTTTAGACAGAAAAACGGGATGGGCGTTCTCTCGGGACTCTACAATATACTCGTTTGCATTTCAAGAACCATAGTAAAGAGGGGTTGGCTTCTTACAAGGCACCACGAATTTCCCCATTTACGTGGTTAATTAAGATGCTTGCGTTCAAATTTTAAGAGACTTGATTTGTCAGAATGTACATGTTTCAAATGCAAAAGACATGGTCTCATTTTTCTTGAAGTGGCAACGAGTGTAGCTACGATGAATATCTTCCAAAATGTTTGAGACTATTTGGTAGATTTTGCAACTCGTTTAAACTCTGTGGATGGATGTATAGACCATTGACTGAGAAACCTTAACAACTAGCATCTAGTGACGTCTGGCGGGGCATGCGGGAGTCCCATCTGGCATCGCCCGCATCTATAGGGTGGGTGAGGCTTGTTTGGCAGTTTTCACCCCGCGGATGCTTAGCCAGAAAAAAGGCGCGGCCGATCTTTGGGGGAAGTGGGGTGTTCCCTCAGAATTTTGCAGTATCGGTTGGGGTGAGCTTCTAAGGCATCCCCAAGCGGTGCGGTCACTTTTCCTTTCAAGCTGCCCCCTAGCCATTGCCCATGCGCCCACGCGGGGACGAGGGCTTGGAAACTTTGCCATTTGGAATGGTGCACTAACACGCGGGCCAAGCTGTGCTGTTTCGCAAGACACTTGCCTTAGCGGTGGAGTGTATGTTGACGCTTGCCTTAGTTGTGGAGTTTATGTTGACGCTTGCCCTAGCCAAGGCTTGAAAAGAAGGCAAAAGCTTTTTGTTATTGGGAACCTGCTGAGCATCGATGCGTGACCCACTGCCAAGAAGCTTAGTATGGGCTATTACGGTACCAATGAAAGGCTACCTTCTGCCAGCAGGGTGCCTTTAACGGAAGTGCATGACTTTCAAATTTGGGGCTACCGACTGACTGCAGTCAGTGGGCGAGGCCTGCCGCCCCTGGCCGCTTCCGCTACAGTCTGGGGGAAGGGGAGGAGAAGACGTCAGGGGCTGGTCTCTCTCTAGGAGCCCGGAGAGGAAGAGGACGGGGACTACTCGGGCGGCCGGGCAGAGGGAGGAGGGGGCTCTCGGAGACCCCCAGCACCTCGCAAGTTTTACGGGCGCTACTTCAGGCGCAGGCCACGGCGCCCCCGCAGCGACACGGAGGGCAGCCAGAGCGGACTCGACGGCGAGGCCAAGGTGCGCTAAGCGCCACACGCCGCCTCTTGTTAATGTCAGCCGTTGCTGGGGGGGTGCGTGTCGTGCGAGAGACTCCCCGTCCGGACTCGAGTCGCTGTACATGGGAAAGCGATGCCGTAAAATAAACGTCGGTGATGCCATTTTCGGCCTAGTTTTGCTATTGAAGGAAAGGGCAGGCTCATATAGGAGATGCCATGAGGGTATGTAGACATTATGGCTGTGTAGATTCAAAAAGAGCTTAGGAGTGGTGGTAGGGAAGCTCGTTCAACATTGTCTCCGAGTGCAGCACATTCAGCGAGCACAATCCATGACTGCGCTAATTTGCTACTTGCTTGACCATTGTCAAAATACTTACCAGCGTGTCAGCCAACCAGATGTCAGCGTCAGTTTTCCCATATAGAGTGACCTTGGTCGGAAGATCTTGTCTGTTTTAACGTAACAAATGCTTGGCTGCTCTCGCTAGGAAGTATATGCGAGCAATTTTTCCTGGTGTTCAGTGAGCGAGTCTTTTCGTACCTTCTCAATCGCTACTTTTATGTCATGCTGCCTTGGTCCTCGTTTCTAACTATGTTTTCTACTTGGCTGGTCACGCGAGAGTAAGCGAGCATTGATTACGTGGGGACGGAAGGACTTCTATCGCGCCAGTCACGAAGCCGATTTTCAGTCTTGTGAATCCAGATTAGACGCCCAATTTTATGTTTGGCCCTCTGGAAATTGATAACAACGTGAGCATGTGTTTTGCAGTACTGTAGAACATCTTTGCTGTTGAAGGGTGCAGTTCTTGTCAAATGACTGAACATTTTTGGGTTTTGGCTGTTTGTGTCTGTTGCTTGTTTGTCGCTTTGTTGGTATTTAGATTGCCTTTTTCTAATTGGCGGCTCGGCAGATCAGTAAAGTAGTCTAGCCTCAAAAAACCGTAAAAAGGTTTTAATTCCGAGGTTTTCGGAATAATGCTTGTCAGAACATCAGGTGCTGGAGAAAATTTGCCGTCTGTGTGAAATCCTTGTTTTGAAAATATTTTTGTTAACAATCTGCCCATTGAACAGCGCAGCAAGAGCCCAAGCATGCACCTCATCTCGCCACACATCAGTCTCCTTTTGCACAATAAAGTTCATTTGCTATGCGCAGCTGTCACCATGGACACAAAGCGTCTCCTGAATAGATGCACACATGAAGGCAGATACTGAACCCATCACTTGCAGGCTCCATTTTCCAAATCTCGTCGTTTAAAGTGAACTCGGGGATCTGGTCACAGCCGGTGCGAGGGTGAGGCTGAGGGCAGGAAGCGATCGCCTGGCAAACCCTTGGCAGTTCCAACAAGGTTCGGTGCAAGCTCGGACCTCAGTTTATAATTCCTTTTCCCCGAGTGAAGCAGAGCGAGGGGTGACCCCACGTAGGATGGTGCGTTTGAAAGCCTAGCTTGGAACATTCAGAAGAGGCAGCTTCGTTTGCTAGCAGACGACGTTTGGAAAATGCTATCTGCTGTTGCTGGCCTCCAGTGCTGCATTCGTATGTGTCTCACCAGCAGATGCTCTGTTACCATGGTGACGGTAACCATGGCAGACAGACTTTATAGTGCAAAAGAAGACTGGTAAGGCAAGGTCGGGAATGCGTTTAGTTTCTTTCATCTTACTCCTCATTGACCTGAACTTGAATATAGAGTTTCAAATGAGGACTTTATGCAAAAGTCTGGTGTACTTCGGTGCCTAAGTAGGTTAACTAGTCTTACTCAAAAAGCGTGCCTTTCTAGCTATCCAGCAGCCCTTTCAAGCAACCGGAGGCCGCATTTGTTAACTGTCAGTATCTAATGTTTGAGGCTGTTGCTCGTCGGTTTGGTTTGACTCGTTATGGCTTCAGTTGATCATTTTCAAGAGTATACTCTGAAAGCAGTGGTTTGTGTGCGTTTCAGTTCTCTATTAGTTTAGAGCCGCCTTGCAGTTCATTTGTAGCGTTTCTGGCTCGTCATTGTTTTTTCTAAACTTTGTGGCATACGGCATTGATGCTGCGTGGGAAAGGACCCCGTACCTCCTCCGAGGCTTTTGTTTGCATTCTTTTATCCTGACCGTCAGCGCTGGATGCTTTGGAAGGGAGCCTTGTCGGGCCACAGGCGCTACACTTTCCTGTTCTTTGGGGCCTTGAGTGACGTGCGAATGGTGTCGGAAACTGATGCTTTTGCAGTACCTCAGGGTGTGCTTGTAGTTTGCCTGCATTGCACTTTGCATGGCTATTGCACTGGCTGACTATTGGCACTGTCTGCATGTAGGGAGGACCCTGGCATGTCTCAATGAGCCTCACCGCCTGGTGTAGAATCTGGGTGTACATGTGTAAGGAGCTGCATTGGTTTGTCGGTGGAGTCTGGCTTGCATCAAAACAATGCTATGGAGACTGGAGTTTCATCTTCTGCTGCATCTCTTTCTCTGCAAACTATTTTGGGGGATCTCGTAGATTATTTAAAAGTTGTGCGCAAATGTTTTGGAAGAAGCCTCGTATAAATTGCGGGGAATGTAACGTGCCTCGTAAAACGAGAAGCTCTTCGTCTTAGTCCTCGTCAATACTCCGACCGAGGGGATCGTCATTTTTTGTAAATGGTGTTTCATAGACTTGGCTCTGCGTAATAGGAGGGAAGGGCATGTGATAGCTGAACAAGGCCAATTTATAACGCTCTATATTAGCTTGATTGGGTAGAGCTATTCTGTTCATTTAAAGCAGCTGTGGGCTTCTTTCTTTTACTTTGTTATGTAAGCAGCAACAATTTTTGGTTAATATATACTTTAAATGACTTATTTTTCGCTGGCCCAATATTTCACGATTTAGATCAAAGCTGAAGTTTTGGAATAATTCGCGGGTTCTAATTTTTGCAACGCGGTGGGATCTCAATATACATTCCAATGTGTTTACATTCTACCGGAATTGTTCGTGGGACCTATTTCTTGCAAACTGTAGGTGATTCGCGAAAATTAAGTCGTTTACAGTATATATACGAATTTAGCAAATTGTATTGTGAAGCTCGCGAAGCAAATGTTACAAGCTTGAGCCGACAGCTTGGCAGGAGTTACGGCCTCCTGCCTCTTTGCACGATACAGGAAGATTCAATGGCAGAAGGCAAACTCCTAACTTCTGTGGTGTCAATCGGCCAATGAATGGAAGGACTGTGCGCACTGCAAGAGGAGGTAGAGGGAAGGTTAGGTGTCGCATTCATCCCCCACGAGATGACAAGCGTGACGTCGGGGGACGGGGACCCTGTTTGCTTTTCGGTACACCCGGTTCCTTTGCCAACTGTGTGCCGCGCGTGGCCATCTCACACGCAGGAGAGTGACGGAGGTGGCACGGGTGACCCCCAGAGAGAGCGGGGGGGCCAGACGGGCGGCCAGCGCAGGAGGCCTCCCTTCCGGCCCCGGCCCCGGCGCAGAGGACCCCGACCGAGCTCGCAGACGCAGGACGACGACGGGGCAGGGTCCCCCGGCAGTGGAGGAGGAGGAGGAGGAGGAGGCCGTTCGAGGGAGGACAAGAGAGACAAGTCGAGGGAGGAGAAGAGGGACAAGTCCCCCAAGCCACAGAGGGAGTCGGGGGGAGAGACGAAGCCCGCAGCGGAGAAGGTGGGCACTCCCTCTTTCGTGCCGGCAGGCCGGTCCGGTCGGTGTCTGGAGGATGGTTTGTGCGTTTGCGTCTCAGGGTGACCGGGCTCGCGACTGCTTGCAGTCGGGAAAACAAACTGGCACCTTTTATCGAGTGGTTCCGGCACACTTCCTGTATGCATACCTGAAATTGTCGAGGAATTGTCTAAAACTCGGTCAAGTCGGGAAAAGAGATTCAGGAGGGCGGTGTGCACGACGCTCAGGGAAGCGGGAAGCAAAGGGCGACGTGGATGGTCATTTGCGCCGAGCGACAGTCGCCCGAGGCATCGCTAGGCAGTGTGAACCACCGTCCGATTCGCCAAATTAAAAAAAAAAAAAGATGAATTAAAGAGCCACTGACCCCGTTTTCTGCATTTTCTTATTTCGTAGCGGTTGGAGAATTTAGTGGGAACATTCGGGGAAAACCCCAAAACAAAGACGAGGAATTCGAAAAATTACAATTTGGTGGCGCCTCGATTTTTCATGCACCGTGCTTTCACCGTGAGCTCGATCAAACTGAAAAAGAAATTGAGACTGAGTTTGTCCAGCAGCGTCCACTCAGCGCATGTGGTCAAATCGGTGGCCGTCGTATCGTCCGCGAAGGGAACGTGTTGCGAGGCAAAGTTTGTCAATTGTTTGCCCTGTAATCGCTCCATAGAGTCCAACGTGTACGAGTGACAATTTCTAATAAATACCGCGCAGATTTGATCCCGCATATACCCCAAACCCTCGTCTTGCTGTGTGCGGGCTGGGAGTGTTCCAAGGGCACCTGATAGATGGTGCCAGTGCATTATCTCATCGTAAGCAGTTGCGGGCTGTACAGACTGCTTTCTTTCCCGCTCGTGAGTGCATGCAGTTGCTAGGTCGCCAAATTCTCTCCGTGGTGCCGCTCCTACCTTTCTTGGCAAAGTGATAAAAAGTGATCCACAATTGTGGTCCACTTCTGGCCCGCATATCTTTATTTTATCTTCGTCCTTTTTGTACGCTGCCTACCCGAGATTTGTATGGTGGATGTTAGAACGGTGGTGTTTTAGCTAGAAACGTTGCGTGCCCAGTTTCACAAATGTTGAGGGCTAGCCTTGTAGCATGGAAAGGAACGTCTAACAAATAGTTTCTCGAATCCTCGCGTGCGACGCCAAAAATACATCGGGAATGCCCGTCGCGATAGGCGCCAAAGCCGCAAAGCTTTTCTCGAACCCAAGTTTTTGAGATAGAACCGAGTGGTTTCGAGATTTTTTAACTATAAAGTGTCCCCCCATAAAATTTGTTTTTTTTTATTGCAAGAAGAAACTATGCATTGCAGAATGCTCGTTCTCTGCCCGAATGTAGCTCTGGCAGTCTGAACCAGATGCCGAAGTATCAGCATTAACTGTTATCTTGTTCCAAAGTTAAAAGTGGTTTCCTGAAATTTTCGATAAATAAATAGGGCCCATTTTAGCCCATTTTCGGTTACTGGCAACCTAGACCTTTGTGTATTACGAGAGGTCCATCGGCTGCCAATTTCCCCTTAAAAAGTTCGGCATCTGTTTCGGAGCTCTGGCACCACATCCGGGCGGAGAGTGAACATTCGGCAATGCATAGTCTATTTTCGTGGTTAAAAAAGGAAAAAACAAATTTTTGGGGGTAGGGTGTCAACTCTGAGTGGAAAAAAAAGTTTGAAGTAAGAGTGGGTTTATGCGGCCCAAATACATCCTCGGTCATACTAGAATGATTGTGTATACTCCGCTTGCGGAGCAGAGTATCGTTACTTTCCCAGGGCAGCCATGTTGAATCCGAGGCCGCACTGCGGGAAGCAACCGCTGCTTCTGCAGGGGGCGCGGATGGCATGGCTGTGACTTGCAGAGCGAAGAAAATTTAGTGCAGTGACGCACCGCACGCGTGCCGTCGTCTCATTATTTGTTTTTCGTTTCTTTCTATACCCTCTCTAGAACGTAGTAGCAGACGAAAATGTCGTCCCTTTGTGATTCGTAGCTGCGCTTTGTTGTCTAGTCGATGTGCCAGTTGCATATTAGTTCGCAAGCACCTCAGACACGAGCAGCACGATAATTCTCCGTGTGGTCTGCTTCCCAGACTTTTGAAAAATCTTTTAAAACGTCTTTCCCATTATAAAACAATGTGATTATACTGTACTCTGTGGCTACACATAATGTTCAGTGGTCAAGGTACCTTCCAATTAATTTGATTTTAGTGTTGGATGTGTATTTCGCAATCTCAAAGCGAGAAGCATGTTTCGCCCAAAACTTTGTGCCTGCAAGGTTGCTTTCCCTCGTGAAGTTTGGATCCAGCCGGACACAGGACCGCTTCTCCGCCAATACAGAGTTGGCAGTGCAAAGAATGGGAATGTGATTCTCTGGCTCTGCAAGCAGAACCTATACAGTTACTCTAGGTCATACTTGGAGTTCTGTCGTCGACGGAGCCACTCGGCCATGCCTGTGTGTTTCACCAACACAAAAAATGGTTTATCGGCGTGCAAACTATTGGAGGCGGTGGCAGACGTTGTTCATCAACATGTCAGAATGTGGGGGTTACTAGAAGGAACCGTCCAATTGTTGACTCCAGCAAAATTGACGGCATTTAGTGGCGAAAACAAAGCTGTGGCAGCAGGTTCCCTCTCCAGCCTTGAGCGAATTAGATATTCACAGTGCCTGGTGGTCGAAACACGAAGCCATGAAAGCAGGTTAAAAAACGTGCATTGAAAATCACCGATAGGCTTGAATTCTGAAAAATGCACAAAGTCTCTGAAAGTGACATGCTTTCGCTGTGGACGGCACGCTGAGAGATAGTGCTAGTGAATGTTGCGATACGTTGGCTTGTGTTCGCCATGTCTTGCATCCTCTCGTGCCAAATACAACGAACCATTGGCCATACTGGTGCATGAAGGGCCTCATGTGCAGCCAGTTCTTGTGTGAGAAGCTTGCACCACCTCTCATTGTGGCATCTAGGAGAGTCTTGTCTCTGCACAGTTAAAAACCAAGCAAGAGAGGAGGAAACTCTCTATTCCTCCTTTCTATTCAAGAAAGAGGGAGGCCCTCCTCTTTTCTGCGGGGAGTAACTCCAGAGACTCTTTTGGGGAGAGAAAAGTGCAAGAGGAAATGTAGAGAAGGAAACTGGGAACCGGTTTTCTGCCAGACAAAATAATTCTGTAGGTTGGTCTTTAAAGAAAACCAGAAGCCCTTCTCGCACAGCTCTTCACTCTTTCCATGTTAGCAGAGCAAATGCTGGAGAGGGGGCAAATATACTCGCCTTCTCTTTTTTAGTGTTCGCTCTGATGAAGTGGACGGTTTTGTGGGAAGAGCTTGTCCTGCCTCCCTTATTCTGTAGCAGAGTATAGGTGGGTCTACAGTAGCTCCCCCTGGTGGCATGTGTGCTGGCCTTGACTGTTCGCCTTGCCCCGCCCAGGCTGCTTCCACGCCCAGCGGCGGCGCCACCTCGAGTGAGGCCAGCAGCAACGGCACGGCGGCAGCCTCTGCCCCGTCTGCAAGCCTTGACTCCTCGTCGTCTGCCGTCGAGGGCACCGTGTCGGCCTGAAGGTTGATGGGCCACCCGTGGAAGGATTCTTTGTTGTTGGTTTTCTTCTCTCTTCCCTCGAGGCGCACACAACAACAACCCTCCTCCCTTATCTCCCTCCCCCGACACCTCCACGAAAACACCCCTTTTTCCCCCACACGGAGATGCGCAGGGAACATTGCGGTTCTGAGAGAGGCGGGGCGCGGACGGAAGACGGATGGACGCACCACAACCGGCGGGAGGAGCATGTGACCTCGCTTCCTTCCCCTCAGTGTTTGTGTGCGTGTGCAAGCGTGCGTTAGTCAACCAAAGTAGAGAGAGGGGGGGCCTCCACAACGAGCGGTAGGGGGTTGCAGGCAGAGGTTCTTTTTGTCCTCCCTCACGGGGCCTTGGGTTGTTTCGACACTTCATTATTTGGTTTTCTTCTAACACTCGAGCAAGCGGCAGCGATGTGGGGAGAGAAAACATGGGGAAAGTGCAGCGATGTCTCACAAAATTTGCCGTGTGCATGCAAGGAGGGGGAGGACTTGGGCTCCTCCCCCCTTCCTCTGGGGGCCCCCCCTCCTGCCTTAGACCAGCCTCTCTCCTTTCCCGCCTGGACCCGGAGAGACACTCCCTCCCTTCCTTTCGGCTGTCTGCCGCCAAAGTTGTCTTCTGTCGCGCTAACATCCGACATGCACATGTTTTGTGAACATCTACAAGAAAGAAAGGGAACCAACTTAGACAACAGCAGCGGGAAAGCGACAAAAGAGCATGCAAAGAAAAACGCGGAAAAACCAACATGCGCGCCCAGCTGACGCCTTAATGTAAAACGAGGAGTGAGAGAGAGTCAACAAGAAAAGAAAAACTTGCCAAAAATTTGCCACCTCTGCAAGATTTTTTCTTTCGTCAAGAGCCAGTGCAGAGTTGTACTTGGCGAGCTTTATATAAGTTATTTTTTTCCCATCTTTTTGTAGAAATTTTTTGTGAAACTGACGACCGAATCTATTCAATATTACATTTACGAGGCATTTGCAGGCATATTGATTGGAGTTGCTTGCATTTGTATAATTTGTTGACATTTTGATGGCATGCCTCAGTCTGACTGAGATTTGTTCCTTTTGGTTTTCTTGCCTAACAAGATTTTGACTTTTTTTTTTTGACAGGTGGCACTAACTTTGTACAGGAATACAAAAAAAAAAGTTTCTAAAACATGTGCAGTTGCAATAAAGAAGTTTTCCCTACTGTGGTGAGTACTGATCTTATTGAAGGTGTGCAGAAAAGAAATTGATTTATATTTCTATAGATACTACTCGCATATTTTTTTTTTTATTTAGAGGATACTACAAGCCATTGAAGGCCCAAGTAGAAGAGGGGTGCAACATATGCATTCACTCTTACAACAAATAACACGACGTTAAAAGGTTTACAACAATCGGCTAGCAATTGTACAGGATATATATAGAAAAAAGGGGGGGGGGGGGGGGGGGGGACTACCATCAAGCAGCATGTGGTGCACTCGTGCAATATTGCAAATTATGAAGGTTTATGCAATCTTAATGCCCATGCAAAAAGGATGAATGTGCAGTGATGTACAAAGCAAGCGTGCTAGTTATCAAGACGTTCGAGACCTTGTACAAAGTTGGTGCAGATAAATAATTGGAGGTAAGCCGTTCAGTTGCTAATAGTGCGGGGAATAAGCTAAACTTAAATATCTTTGTATGTGCAAAAGTGGGTGTTAGTGAAAACTGATGTCTGTGCTGCGTGGTTGTTGACGCTAAAGGGGGAATATATTGCAAGGGGTCTATGTGAGGCTGTCCTTGTTACAGACGAGAAAAGAATTTTAACAGTGCTAGTTTCCTTCTGGTCTGTAGAGTGTATTTCATTGGCCTGGATAAGTTGGGTCGGGGAATCCAGCCTTCTTTATTTGCTGTAAATAAACCGAACCGCTCAACGTTGCACCATCTGCAACTTCCGGATGCCTTTCTGAGTGAACGGATCCCCAACGACATTTGCATACTCAAACTTAGATCTGACTAATGAATAGCATGTAGCTTGACCTGAATCGGAGCGTATTTCTTCTAATGAAGCCCAACTTCCTGGATGCGAAGGCACAAATATCTCTTATATGGGGAGACCATAAAAGTGTGTCCGATATAATTAAGCCAAGATATTTACATTCCCGCTCCACAGTAACCAAGGTGTCTGCGACTTTTATCTTCATTCTGCTTCCAATGCTGCTAAGGAGCAGTGTCACTTCCACAAGTGTAGGTTTTTATAATAATTGAGGGTGGTGGTTTTGGCAGTTCAAAATAAAGTATTGAGTTTGGTTGGTTCATAAAACTTCGGGGGCTTTTTTGTTGATAGATAAGCTGGTTTTTGCAGGCATTTTACAAAACATGTATAGAGGCTGTAAAAGTGCGAGGGGAGGATGCCTTATCTCAACTGAAGTGTTGTGCTATGGTCATGGTCTTCTCTGACTAGAGTGTTATTTCTAAAAAGAACGCTCTTGTATTCCTTTTGTGCCCTTTCTATTCGCATTACAAAAGGTAACGTAATATGCTCCAATATCAAAGGGGAACCTCCAGTCATTGTCACTGATAAGCTCATTTAGTGATGCAGTCACTTTTTATTTTCAAGTGATGTGCTAACAGATCTTTGCATCTGCTCCAAACCAATGTTTTGAATTGCCTGCAATACATGCCTTGCAAGTGACGTCACGCTAGGGAAGGACGGGGCCCCGCACCATCCTGGTGGTTTACTTTACACCGCGCGGGTGCGCTTACCAAGGCGTAGGATGCCGCTAACGGCCCGGACATGCGCTAACACCATATTTTCAACAAAGGTATCTATAGTTGTGTTATAAATAACTTGGAAAGACGTGCTGAGCTTACGATGATGACGTTTATCCAGTACTTGCAGAATTTTTCGGCATTGGTGCGATTGCGCTACGAGCAGAAAGTTTCGAAATGCCGCCGACGAAGTTTTGACGCGAAGGGCTGCCGTGTCGCAAGAAAAAGAAAAAGCTTAATTGAGCGCCCCATAATTTGACGAGCGGCTCTAGAAGACGACTGTACAAAAATTGTTACGATTTTGCGAGATACTGGTAAACAACGCTATGTTACCGTCATAATTTAAGCCCCGAGACAAGGATAAATCAAATAACGGACAAGACAACTCTCATTGTCTCAGGGCTTATATTATGATGTTTCCTAACCGGCTCGTTTGCATACTTTCGCTCCTTGCAAAGGTTACCGTCTCGCAAACGGCACAAACCGATGCCCCGGCGGCGGCGTCTCAACGAGCTTGCACAAGGGGGCCGCCGCCGACCGAACCGTATGGCCGGGCTCGCGGTGCGACACTCGCCCGGACACAGCCGGGAGCCCCGAAGGTGCGCTCGAAGCGTTGAAAAGTCGTTATGTAACGAGCAAAAGCCGATGCAAAGGCGTGCGCGAACGGAAACAAGGGTAGAAAAGTACCGTCGCTCGCCGCTACGAAATGCGTCCCACAAACTCGATAATCCGCGGCCGCATCCCTTTCCTGCCGCTCGTACTTTCTCCAACTTGACGGCTACTCTGTCTCGCGGGGCATGCCGGCAAAACGATCGGACGATCGTCGGGATACGTAGCAATTGCTACAGCCGAGCGCGGCGCAGTTTACCATTGCTCTCACAGCAACGGGCCGTCGAGTCAACCACCAGCATGGTGCATACCGGTGTTCGACGTCATTATGTGACGCAGGTGCAAGGGCAGTTTGATACTTTAGACCCATGTTACGGGTAAAAAAAACAGGACGCGGGATGGCCAAAACATGCTTTTCGCGCAAGGCTCGTCAAATTATGAGGCGCTGGAGAAATGCAGCATTCTGCGTTAAGTCCTTATTTCGAACTCTTTTTGTTCGCCTTCCGCCCATTGAAAAGCATGCGGGAAGGGCCTTAGAACGCACCTGGTATCGCTGCGCCGCAGCGTTCTTCCGCATCAAAAAGTTCGTCTGCTTTCCTCGCCGTCACCATGGCAACGAACGCCGAATGAATAGAAGCAGGCACGGTACCGCCGCGTGAAGCTAGCAACAGCTGACGCCATTTTACGAACGCCGTCTGCTAGCCACAGCCGAACGCGGTGTGTCAGGTCAACCGCCTCCGCCGGTGCGCCGCTAGCAAAGACGACGAAGCTAAGACACGCCGACGGCGATGGAGCAAGCAACAACACCGCGGGGCGACTGCAACGGCGGCATTTATTCGGATCTAAGGCCGCCTTCGCCGGTGCGCCGCTAGCAAAGACGACGAAGCTGAGGCACGCTGACGGCGAATGGGCGAGCAACAGCACCGCGGGACGACTGCAACTGCGGCATTTATTCGGATCAAAGGCGCGAAATAAGCAAGAACAATTTTTATTTGAATTATAACACCCGATATCCAAGTTGGGGACCACACACCTTTGCTGGGTCTTTCCTGTGAACTTTTTACAGAGACACGGGGTGCCGCATTCAAAACACAGCTCCGTTTGCAAAATATGGGGGCCCTGAAAAGGACCGTTTAGACCGCCACCAGAACCTACAATTGACGTAAGGAGCACTTGACGAGCGGTTGGCGCATAAGTCGTCTTTATGCATGCAGGCAGGTGACGGGCTCAGCGCAGCGGATCACTCGAAATCACCGGGGCCGTCAAAATCCTCGCCCTGTCTGCGTCGGGGCTCTAGATTTTGGCGGCCGCAGCGACGAACGACTGGAATCTATTAGTGTTTCCGCGCACCTTGTCTCTCCTCCAAAATATGAACTTTGCAAGGTGACCAGTGAAATGGTGGCTCTCGCGCCGTCCAGATGGAAGAGAGTTTTTGACGTGGGCCCAGGTGCAATCCAGCGTATTGGTGTGCGCACCAGTGTTCGGGTCGACAAAGTGCAGCTTGTGGTTGACGGTGAGGTGCGTGAAGCGAGCGTCATCTGCAAGCTTGCGATAGCCAGCCCAACAATCAGTGATTATTCTTGTTCCAGGGCGGACCCACTCGGCTATTAGCCCTTGCACGGTTTTAGCATCACGGGTTTCCACGGGAACAAGAAAGCAGCACCCGCTGCAACGCGCCACACCGCCGAAAACCGACTGGCCAGGCCTTAAATACCCGCGATGGTACTTGTGCCGACCGATCATACTCTCGTCTAGTTCTACAGTCACGCCTTCGCCACCAATCAAGTCTGAATGCTTAAAGACGGCATTTACCACAATCTCCCGACAAAGGCTCGCCCAATCAGTTATTGTCTTACTTGCGATATCAGCCTCCCGCTGAATGACGGCGCACGGTAGGTTCTGGCATCCGGAGGATGATTTTCACGAGTTGGAGAAGCGTCAGGTACGATCCTTCGAAAAAGGAACCGCTCGGTACAGGGACCTCGCCCCGGCACTGCACTTTGACCGGCTTCCTCCTGGGCACCACACGAATCATCCCCGGTGTAGCCATCCGCAGATCTAGCGCGGACTTGCAGCTTGTCATCGCAGCTTCGCACTCTGGACACGCACGAAAACCCAGGAGCCAGGAGCAGGCCAACGCGCTAAAGCAAATTAATTGCTTCAAGAGGGTCTTTCATGGCGCCATGAAGACGGCACAAGTTCAACGCCATGGCACTGCGTTGCTCGCCTCTGGAAGAATAAAGCACCGAGGGGGAAGGGGGAACTGCGCGCTTCTTTGCATTTATTATTTTTATTTCATCCGCCATTTTATACCTCGTGACACAATTCTAACAAACTCATTGGTTGAACGGTCGGACCACACCATCGCGTGACAAAACAACCGCCAAACCAGAGTCCTGCCAAACGTATGTCCACAGACGGCATCGTCACAGAGAAGGGAGCAGTCGAACCCAACAACAAAATAAAGTAACAAAGTGAATAAAAAGAAAAAAAAAAAAAAAACAAGAAAGGAGCCGTTGGAGTTTCGGACGGCGTCTTTGATGAGAGGAGCTGCTCTGGCTGCTCGGAATATTCCCTCATTTTTTTTTTTTTTTTTTCATTTTCTTACTCTGCAGGGTGCCACAACCCTTATTTGAAGCTGATTTGTTAAATTAATAACAAACAACGCGTTGGAACGGAGGAGGTAGAGAGTCGTGGCGTCAGAATTTGACGTGGTGGAAAAGAAAAGAAAATAACGAATGCACAATACATACCGTATGCCAAGACCGTTATACTCCACATGCACTTCGCGAGGCCTTTCGACGCCGCCGACGACCGTTAGGCTATTTATTTTGTTTCTTCAGA